TGATTGGGTTTGGTGGTGGGGGGTTTGTAAATATAGTGAAGTTATTTGTATAGATTTTATTATAATTAAAATGAAGATTGTATATAATAAATGAAGGATTTTTATAATATAATATGAAAGATTTATATAATTAAATGAAGATTTTTATAATTAAATGAAGAATTAATATAATTAAATGAAGATTGTATGTATTAAGGAATATGCCCACAACTTTCCCACTAAAAGGGAACTGGGGGATGTGACTTTGGTCTCCGAACCAAGAGACTTTGTCTCCTGCTGGGCATGAGAACTGAAAATTGACGCAGTGTGCGAGAATGCTTTTCATTGATTATAGCTCTCTATTAATGCCTAATCCCAGGTAAACTGTTGAAAAGCCATGTCTCTCGGTTTATGTGTTGCCATGTGTAAATGATTTTTTACTTTTAACTGACAAAATCGCAGATGAAAATCAATTAATGTTTTTTTTCAGATATTGATTCTGGAGCACCGTTCTCCTCAGAGGATGTTAATAAAATTTTGAGTCCTTTACTTTTTACATTTACACGCATATTGTTGTCTTCCTCGGAACTTAACCTGATAATTTAATGATGCTGATACACCACCATCATCGGTCTCATCATAACACAGTAGAATCCTCTTAAAGCAAGAGGATACAAAATTGTTCCATGGAGTCAAACTAACAACCTCCACCTGAAACGCATCCAAACATGAACTGTCTCACACGCCTGTTTGCTATCGACAACTCCCAGGTACAAAATGAAAGGATGCACACGTTTCATATTCAGTTTATTGCCATTGGCAGTAAAAAAAACATCATGTAATACATAGCAAAAGTCTCCAGTGTCACAGACAATACAGACATAAAACAACATCTCGTCTCGTTTTTAACTTGTAAGAAAGCCGTCACGGCTCTACTAGAGCGCAACAAAACATTATTTTGTAATCGAATTAATCAATTATTTTCACGATTAATCGACAATCGCTTGCTGTGAATTTGTAAAAAAAAATATTTTTCATCACAAAAAGCTAAAGTGCTACACCAGGACGTATTGAGCGTAAAACTTAAAGTAAATGTTGAACAGGCTCTTTGTGCTAATTCTGCGCTGATTGATGAGACAACAGATATCATGAAAATTATAAAAACAAATCGGTTTTAATCAAAAAATGACTTAATTTTCATGTCATTTTTTTGCTCTATTTGATCCGGTGAAACCAGAAAAAAACATTTATCGAGTACGAAAAAAGTTGCCGACTAATTCAATAATCGTTAGGCTTGATTATAATAAGTCGATAGTTTGTTTTTCAGCCCTAGTCTCTACTTCCTGCAAAAACTTAGAGAATTTACCACTAACTCTAAGATTCTGCTTAACTTTTATCGCTGGCACCATTGAAAGTTTACTTGTTGGTTCTGTGTCTGTGTGGTTTGGAAACATCACAGATAAGAAAAGAGAAGCTTTAAACAAGGTGCTCCTTCTGCAAAGAGGACCGTGGGCTGTGAGCTTCCTGTACTGGAGGCTCTTTATAAATCCAGACAAAGCTCTTAGGATTGTCAATGCCTCTTCTGACCACCCTGGGAAAGCCATGTTCCAGCTTCTTCCCTTTTGGCAGAAGATATCGTTCTGAGATGCAGGACATCTCGTTACGCTAACAGCTTTTATCCACAAGCTGTTATCAGTCTGAACAGAGCACTTTAATATTCTTGCACCTGTATTGAAACAGTTTTAGTCAAATGGTTTTTTCTCAGTGTTTACGGTTTTATTTCTTTTATTTCTGTACTTTTAATGTTGTGTTATGTCTGCATTTGTCTGTGCACACTGGCGACTTTTGCAAAGGTATTCCAATCTGTTTTTTTGTTTACTGCCAATGGCAAATAAACTGAATCTGAAAGAAATACCCATAAGGAAAATGGGTCAAGCTAGCTTATGTTCAAGTTCGCTCTATGGTTCAAATGCAAGATAAAACAGTTCTATTATATCTTCACTTTTTATGCACGATCATTCAGGATTTTAATTTGAGTGTAACTCATACTACACACTTTAGACACATATGGAAGATTTTTTGTGTCATCAGATTTAGAATTGTTTTTAGCTTGAATTCTTCAGTTTGAAACCCTGAAAAAGCAAGTTTGAATATTTGTATCTTTACATTTCAGTCACTAAAAATTCAGTTTACAAATTTCAATGTGATTAAAATTTCAAAATGACACATTCACCCTCAAAATATTCAAAAAAACATTTTCAATGAAAAAAAAACAGATGGATTATTTGTTCCATCAGAAATTGAATTTTAAATGGACCTGAATTCATCTATTTGAATGTTTGTAACATCTTTTTGAGAGAGAGAGAGAGAGATCGAGAGAGAGAGACAGGATTTCGCTTTGTTTACGGAGCGAGTGGAGCCGAAAGAGCACGTAACTTTTCACAGCTCCATAAATAAGCAGCCATACGGTGTTCTTACCGTTGTTACTTTATTTCAGAGACAACTCAGCAAATATCATTTAGTGCACAAGAGTTCAAGCTGTGGAATACATGTTTTTTGTTAATTCCTTTACATGGAACTCTTTTTCAAGTAACACGAGTGAGCCCTGTGGAAACTGCTACACGGGAAACTAGACCCAAATACTGTGTAACGTAACCAACAATAACACTGTCCTTTTTTGCTATAAATGTTCAAATGTGATGGTTTTTCATGAACACAAACAAATACACACAGCCTAAATAAATAAACAGGAATATACAGCTATAGTTAATGATTTGAAACGAGCACATTTACCCAAAAAGACTAGCTCATCAAATTAATGTAGTATCATCTTGTTATTCGCCTTGGTTTCATTACAATCCATTCATTAGAAATCCCAAATCAACCTGTTAGATTCATGTTATCAACCGATGGACCTGCTGAAAGCTAGCGCCAGTCTTTACCTCAGTAAAATGACGCATGCGCATGCGCAGACCAACTGACAGAGCAACTGACAGAGCACATAACTCGTCAGAACACCGGATGTGTCATGTGCATTTTTCACCAATTAATTTTTTCTCGTTGAATTTTGACTGTTGAATTTGACATTATGAAATTGATAATCAGTGACTGAAATTCACAGAAAAAAATATTCAAGATGTTAAAAACATTCAAATAGATGAATTCAGGTCCATTTAAAATTCAATTTCTGATATCCATATAAATAATCCATCTGTTTTTTTTACATTGAAAAAAAAAATATATTGAATATTTTGAGGGTGAATATGTCATTTTGAAATTTTAATCATTTAAATTTGTAAACTGAATTTTTAGTGACTGAAAAGTAAAGATAAAAATATTCAAACTTGCTTTTCCAGGGTTAAAAATTTCAAACGGAAAAATTCAAGCTAAAAAAAATTCAAAATCTGACTACACATAAAATCTTCCATAGACACAGTTGTAGAAATAACTAAGTTGAATGGTCAGACCTTAAAAAGCACAGCTAACCCATAGACTGTAACCACAATAATTCATTTGCTCATAAGCACGGCTGAGCAGTAAAGTATTGGTAGCAGGAAAAAAAAAAACTTTCCACCTCCTGGAACTAGGGTAAGAGGCCTGCGTTTCTTCATTCTTTAATGGATCGTAAACATTTTAATGCTTAATTTTCTTGTTAAGCACTTACTATAAAACTGTGCCATTTAAATAAACTCACCTACATTTTAACTTCTGTAATACTTCACAATAATCTTTGCACAGATATCTATTATCTAAGTACAGGAGTATTTTACCTCAATCCAGACTCCAGACTCATGCTGTCTCCAGAGCACCAAACAGGAGGCAGGACTTAGCACCTGCATTTATCAATTTGAACGAGAACCAACCAATCACAGCTCACCTGACAGTTCACAAACAACTGTTCAAATTAGTACATACAAATACAGTTTTAAAACTAGTTTTGAATCAAATGAAAAAAGAAAACACAGTAGATCCACCTTTCTAAAACTTTTATTTCAACACTTTGTCGAAAGGCTTTGACAAAAGGTTTCTATCTAATGATATGTTAACGTTTACAATATGAATAGTGTTATCACAAAATACAATAAAAGGACCCTGGGAACAGTCTTAAAGCAGGGGGACATAACTTTCAGACCACAACAATAGAACTCTGTCATAAAAGCCCTGTCACTAGTTCCTTGCTCTGAAAGAGTTTGGGTCTGGTCTGGGTCTAGTTTAGGCATGGGTCTGGGTCTGATCCAGCACAAAGTCTGGGTTTGGGTCTGCTTAGTTTTCTTTTGTCACTCGTTTTCACATGCATGTGCCGTTGGCCTCTTACATCTCTAGATCAGCTTTTTCAGACAGAAAGAGAAAAAGAGAGGACCACCGTCCCTCAGCCAATCAGCTCTCAGCCAGAGTCAGATAGTGACTCACAGTATGTTGTGGTCTGATTTGTTCAAAACATTTTACCTCAATACTCTTTCTGTTCAAACTACATATCATATATGTTATTTATGAGACTAAATATAAATCACTAAATACACAACTTCTCATTAATGAATGGCAGGTGGTTGCATAGTTTACTTCAAACAAACTTCATTCCTAGTAAACCAAGTCTGAAAACGGTCAGATTATAGAACTTATGCGATTCAAAATGAGGTCCAAAACATCTGCACTGCCTCAGACCTCAACCTTCTGTTCCTTGTGTAAATAAATAAGTAGCAGGAGCAGCTTTCTCCCATGATTCTCAGGAGTGTTATCTGATCCTTGTGGATATTGGACAACTTTAAAAAGGAAATAGCAGCGCGTGCAACAGCCCCAACTCTTGACAGTGAGAGCTTCACTCTCTCGAACACGGCTCCGCGGCTCGCAACGCTGTCCATAAACAAAGTATAGTTATGAAGTAGAATCATAAACGAACTATGGTGTTGTTCTGTGGCTGGACATGCGGATCTGTGATTGGCTGACAGCTCGTTGAGTGGAAGTGTATCTGTGATTGGCTGACAGCTCGTTGGGTTGAAGCTGCTCTGTCATTGGCTGACAGCTCATTTGGTTGCTGCGTTGACATCCTCGTCCTTGTCGTCATGCAGGAAGAACAGGGGGAACATGCCGAGTAGACAGCCGATGCAGACGCCAATGGCTTTGGCCTAAAACAAATGAGCAAAGATGATGACTAAAGAGTCACAATGACATGGAACTGTTGTTTACTATAGAGAATATTTCAACTGTGTGTGTTTTTGTGTGTGTGTGTGTGTGTGTGTGTGCACGCGGTGCATGCGTGCGTGCCTTACCAGATGTGCGCTAAGTCGTGTCTGCCACATGTCGACCTGAGCGGGGGTCAAGTCTGGACCCTGCATCCCGAGTCTAGAGACCAGAGCCTCCACGTAACCAGCCAGACTGAGGACCCAGAGAGAGACCAGAGAGAGACCAGCAAGAAACCAGAGAGAATCATGTTATAATACAATACAGACACTTTCTAACATATTGTTTTCTATCAAGAACTGCGTGTGAAAATGTAACTGACCCGAGTCCAGCCAGGTCCGACACCAGGTTTCCCAGAGCAGCGGCTGCAGTCAGAGCACCAGTCAGAAAACAGCACAAACATACATCCACCTGGTCCTTTACTAAAGCTCATGACAATAGGTCTGAGAGGGAGTTCTGACTACAGACACTGCTCTCACTCCGACAGCTACAGAGTGTGTTCAAAAACAAAACACTCTCTTTGGTGGATTCTCAAAGAGACGAGGACAGGTCCAAGGAGGTTTGGTCCGGTATGCACCACACAGAAAAAAGCCTCAAGGCGTCAGACCTAAGGACGCTTTCAAAGGAGTGAGACCAGAGGGGGTAAGGTCAGAGAGACCAGTGAAAGAGAGACCAGAGAGAGAGACCAGAGAAGGAAAGGTCTGAGAGAGAAACTAGACTGAGACCAGAGAGAGAGAGAATGACTATAGCTGTCCAAATACACATATTTCCAACACAGGCCTGGCTGTTCCCTGTGCTCTTAAAAGCATCACTGGCCGTTGTCTCTGATTGCCGCGTTACATGCAGCTCAAGCGCATTAGACTCAGTTCGCACCAGCTACAAACAAACTGGTTTTTCACAATGAGCCTAACAAGTTTATTTTTCAATGTAAGTCAATAAGAGCCAAAGAGAGTTGGATCAAAACTTCACCATGAGCAATTCGCTATTGGGTTTCATTGAGCTAGCTAATCCATCTGTAACTGTCTATGCGGAGAACACTGCGGAACTTCATTAAGATTTTAATTTCACCACAGAAGGACTGTGGTGATGATCCAGGACACTCATTCTACAACATGTATGGACATTTATCAACATTCATGGACATTGATTCAAGGAACAATACCTAAGTGTTCTATATTTTTTGTGTCTTTAACTGTTGATTCTCTGATCTGTGATGATGATTTCAACGGTTTTGTTAAGTCCTCTGGGATGACTGCTGTTGTGATTTAGGGCAATACAAGAATATTGAATTGAATTGAATTTATTAGAACTTCACACAGATTTGAGGTTCTGAAACTGAACATCACAGTAAATGGGTGAAGCTTCCATCAACAGACCGTGCCCACTCAGGAAGTATCATCAAGAGACCACACCCACAAAGGAAGTACCATCAAATGACCTTGCGTTAAAAAACAGACCAGAACACATGGAGCCAACACTGACCTGCCATGGTGGAGATGCCCAGAGTGACCCCGATAGACAACTCGATCTGTGTGCCCTGAAACAAACAAACACCCAAATGATTAAAGGTTTTAAAGGAGATATACTGTATACAAAGATGTAAAATCTTGTTTTAGCCATGTTACACCCATGGATGTGTGATATGTGACTAGAGGCCACCCACGGTACTGCAGCCTATATCCACATGTAAGGACGTTTCCCCACAGACACTTCACTAAAACGGCTCATCCTCAAAGACAGAACTACAGCTTTCACAAAGGAGGATTTTGTGGAGATTTTAGTGTCTCGTGTCATCATTTCAAATATTTTGGTTTTCTATGAATCCACAGTTCATTGCTAAAACCTTGGCATGCCCTCGTCCTGTTCTTGCTCCCCTCTTCTCAGAGGTGCACTGATTTGTCAGAATGCTCTTCAGCCTCTTCCACTGGTCCCTCTCTCTCTGGTCCCTCTCTCTCTGGTCTCTCTTTGGTCTCTCTCCCTCGCTGCAGCGCTCTGATTGGTTAGAACACTCATTACTCTGGTCCTGTGGGAGTAGAACCACTGCGTAGAACCACTGCACAGAACTGGGCAAACCAGAGTTGATCACAACACGTCACTTCTGCTGATGTTTGGGACGTCCATGGTGCAAGTATGAACCAATGAACACAAGCCTCTGATCCGACAGTGTAGACATGTTGGAGAAAAGGTCTTGGTTATACTCCAGTGCTGGTTTAGGGCTGTTTCAGTTTACCTTTCAGTCAGAGACGAGCCAGTGCGTTACCCTTACTTATTATTCTTTAGCTTCTCAATTGTTTTTGCTTTGTTTCAGTTAAGACCAACTACAGGTCCTTCTAAAAAAAATTGCATATTGTGATAAAGTTCATTATTTTCTGTAATGTACTGGTAAACATTAGACTTTCATATATTTTAGATTCATTACACACAGCTGAAGTAGTTGAAGCCTTTGTTTTAATTTTAAAAAAAAGTAAAGAAAAACCAAAAATGCGTATCTCAGAAAATTAGCATATCATGAAAAGGTACTCTAAATGAGCCATTAACCTAATCATCTAAACACTTGCAGAAGATTCCTGAGGCTTTTAAAAACTCCCGCCTGGTTCATTACTCAAAACCGCAATCATGGGTAAGACTGCTGACCTGACTGCTGTCCAGAAGGCAATCATTGACACCCTCAAGCAAGAGGGTAAGACACAGAAAGACATTTCTGAGCGAATAGTTCCCAGAGTGCTGTATCACCTCAGTGGGAAGGAAAAAGAGTGGAAGAAAACGCTGCACAACCCAAAGAGGTGACCGGACCCTGAGGAGGATGGTGGAGACGGGCCGATTCCAGACCTTGGCTTGAGGACTTGCGGAAGCAGTGGACTGAGTCTGAAGCAGAAACATCCACCATTGTGCACAGGCGTGCGCAGGAAATGGGCTACAGAAACCACAACCAGAAGCAGCGGCAGAAGCGCCTGACCTGGGCTACAGATAAGCAGCACTGGACTGTTGCTCAATGGTCAAAAGTACTTTTTTCGGATAAAATCAAGATGCCAGAGTGTAGTGGAAGACTGGGGAGAAGGAAATGCCAAAATGCCTGAAGTCCAGTGTCAAGTACCCTCAGTCAGGGATGGTCTGGGGTGTCATGTCAGCTGCTGGTGGTGGTCCACTGTGTTTTATCAAGGGCAGGGTCAGTGCAGCTGGCTATCAGGAGATTTTGGAGCACTTCATGCTTCCATCTGCTGAAAAGCTTTATGGAGATGAAGATTTCATTTTTCAGCACGACCTGGCACCTGCTCACAGTGCCAAAACCACTGGTAAATGGTTTACTGCCTGTGGGATTACTGTACTCAATTGGCCTGCCAACTCTCCTGACCTGAACCCCATAGAGAATCTGTGGGATATTGTGAAGAGGAAGTTGAGAGGCACCAGACCCAACACTGGATGAACTATCCACTATCGAAGCATCCTGGGGCCTCATAACACCTCAGCAGTGCCACAGGCTGCTTGCCTCCATGCCACGCCGTATTGAAGCATTCATTTCTACAAAAGGGTTCCTGATCAAGTGCATAACTGAACATTATTATTTGAAGGTTGACATTTTTTTAATTAAAAACACTTTTCATTTATTGGTCGGATGAAATATGCAAAAAAAATTAAATAGGGATTTCTGTTTTTTTGTTACTTTTTTGCCAAAATCATCAATATTAAAACAATAAAAGGCTTGAACTACTTCAGTTGTGTGTAATGAATCTAAAATATATGAAACTCTAATGTTTATCAGTACATTACAGAAAATAATGTATATTTCACCTCAGTTAATGAGAACAGAGAGAGACCACAGAGACTACTAAGACATCACAAGGTTTTCAGACTTACAGACTCTTCCCCTTAATCCATTTCTGGGTTGAGGGAGTTGCAGTCAGAGCTGCCACCCAATTCACAGAGCACTAGCTCCTCACTGATCCTCCTGCAGGTGATGAGTCTACAGGAGGCAACAAAAGTATTGCCCATAAATTAGTTTTGGTAATTTCTCAGGTGAAATTAAGTTATTTGTATATGTTTCTCCTCATATTTTCTTCTGCAGATATTATGCCAGATTCTAAAACATGAAATGACAAAGTAAAATAAGTTAATCTCGCACCGCCGCAATCATGATGGCGTTGTCCAGGAAACCAAAGCCCACGAAGGGAAGACCATTGTGGATCAGGACTGAAAACACAAGAAAAGTTCAGTCTCATAAATAGCACATGTTTAAAGCTGGGGTCTGTTGACTTTGATTTTTGATTTCCAGTTGTTAATTGTTAATGCTATTAGGATAAGTTTATGGTCTGGTGGGTCTATGGTTAGAGTGGATGTATCGCCGAGTAGGCAGTGTACAGGGCTGTGGGGGATGCAGTGGTCCATAATGGTAGAGAGGGTTTCTGTCACTTCTTTCCAGAATTGAAGAACAGGGGGGAAGAGCCAAAAAGCATGTATGTGTGTGTCAGTTGAGTTTTGTGTGTTTTGTGTGTCATTTTCTGTCTGGTGAGATGTGTTCTGTGTAATGTTTTGTACTGTATGAGGTGAAGGTTTGCGTTGTTAGACATGTTGTAGATGTTGTTACATATTTGGGTCCAGAAGCTGGCATCAGGGACAATTCCAAGGTCAAATTTCCATTTTTCTATTGGTAAAGCAAATGTATAATCTGAATGGGTGATGATTCTGTAGATGTTAGCAGTTAGTTTTTTTGGAGTCTTGATATTTAGTAATCTTGTAATTGGTGGGGGAGAGTGAGATCTATATTTTTTGTGTCATATGATTTTTGGATGATTGATTTTAACTGATGGTACTCGAGATATTGTGTGTCCCTGATGCCAAACTTCTGGACCAGGTGCGGGAATGAAACCAGTGTGTTGTCATGGAAAATGTGTTGTAGGTGTGTGATGCCTGTCTTTGCCCACGTTCGGAAGTGTAGTGGTTTCTTGTACTGTAAGAGGTCTAGGTTGTTCCAGATGGGGTTGAAGATGAACTGTGTGGGACCGGTGTTTGTGATTTTGTAAAATTTCCACCAGGCTGTCAGAGCTGATGATATTGTTAAAAATGTGAAGCATGGGTGTCGTTTAATTGAGCTGCTGTGAAATGGAAGGTCAGATAATAATATATTCCCACAGATTATCTTTTCAATGTCAGACCAGGTATTGTCTGCAGGGTGTGGGTGTGTCCATTTATAAATATATTGCATTTGAATTGCTGTCGAGTAGTGAGTCAACATTCCACAGTGGAAAGATCTCCTCCTACTGTAGAACACTTATCCTTTGAACAAGCTTCCACCAATCACAGAAATACCGTAACACCCAGAAACTGGAACAAACTCACACATTTTCTTACAAATTAACTAATTGCATTGTTATTGTTATTATTATTGTTACGATCATTTGAATTGTTCTTATTATTATTATTATTATTATTGCTTTATACGTAGCCTGACTGGATTATTATTGTTATTATTATTTCTTTTTTTTGCTCACTTTTTGTTCTTTTTGTATATTTTCTGCTTAACTGTTAATGTTACAATTTATATAATTAGTATTTATGTATACATGTTATATCATATTTGATTATATAGAATAAGCAATAGGGAATGGTGAGGAAGCAACAATAATAAATATGAATATTTATATTGAATAATACACATTGTATAATTAATAATACATATGGACTCTTCCCACATGCGTCTCAGGCAAATGCCTTTTTAATGCACAACACCTCACGCAGGTTTTTAATGCACCACACAATCACAGACAAACTATTGAGGAATGCTGTCGGGAGAGTGCCAATAGTAATGCTACTGTTAAGGACGCTAGTATTGTCGTAATTTTTATCTTCATCCTCATCACCATTGTCGCTATTGCTGTTATTTTCTTCTTTTTTTGTTGTTGTCATTGTTATTTTGCCTTTCTCATCTCGGGTAACTTACATCATACCACCAATTCCCATCAATATGCTTGGATAATCAATCAATGCACACACACAAAAATAAAAAAGTGAATAACAACACACACACACAGACACACACACACACATACGGAAGCCCCCCCCTTATTAAAGTTCTATTGTTGTGGTCTGAAAGTTCCGCTCCGCGGCTCTAATGGTGCTAGTGTTATTAGTAGCATCTGAATGAGCGCTCACTGTATCTGATCTGAGGCGCGGTCAGCGGAGTTGGCACCTGTTCATCTGTGGAAAGAAGAAAACAACACTTTTTAGAACAAAACATTCAGCTCTGGTCCTTCTATCCGAGGTATAGACCTATGAAGTAGACCTGTCTACTCTACTCCACTGTTGGGACTGTTTAATCTTTCCTATTGTTAATGTTTATTGTACACTGCCCCTTTAAATATACAAGTCATACCAGACAATGGAAAGGATGTAACATACAAATTGTGAGTTGGATTCTATTGATGTCAATGGTGCAGCCCTAGAGTACCGCCTCAGTGAGTTTGATAACAGAGCCTTTGGACAGAGGGCGTGGGGGGACCTTGTTGTGCTGCTGCGGCCTCAAAGTCGCGGAGCTCCCCCAGCAGTCGCGCTCTGTCGGCAGGGTGCAGCCGGTAGATGAAGTCCCTGGTCCTCTTCACCGAGTCTAACCTCTCTTTGGGCTCCTTCCCCCCGTGAGTGCCCATGCAGCAGGCCCCGAGAGGAGGCAGGGTCCTCGGAAGAAGAGCCCCAAGATGAGGGAGAGTCCAGGGGAGAGATCTGCTCCAAGGAAGAGCTCTGCGGAGGACCATCATGACCACGGCCTAAGACGAGAAAAGTGGATGATTCTCAGGTTTTGTCCATAAACTCCATGTATATAATTAAATACACATGTAATTTAGTCTCAAGTAAATCAAACGTTTCTCCACCACTGCTACATGTGGCTCAGGGAAAAAAAAGTTCTAAAATAGCACGCATGTCACATAATAGGGATAATAGGGATAACGTAACAAGCCATGGAGTTGTGTTTGGGTTAATTAAGCTCTCATCGTCAGAGTTGCATGCCCTTCTCTTTTCCTTTATGAAGGTGTGCTTGTAAACATATTTGAAAGTGTTTGTGTTTCTCCGAAGTGGATGAGAGACTTCTAGTCCATTATGAAATGATTCCCTATGGTCTCTCTCTGGTATGTACCTCTGGTCCGTCCCTGGTCTCTATGTGGTTGCTCCCTGGTCTTTTTCTCTCTCTGGTCTCGCTCTGGAGTGAGTGGGTGAGTGTGAGTCGGTCAGTCCTGACTTTATACATTTCTTTTCCTTATAAAACACACTGTATTTTCTTTGTTTTATCCATGGATCTCACTATGCTGTCTCATTAATACAAATTATAATATCTAGGTGTCTACAGGACCAGGTGGTAAAATATACACTATTTTTTCAAAAGATACATATTTGCAGTTGTAGCGTCACCCAGAGATGCACACAAGTCTCTGACCCGCAAGTCCAAGTCAAGTCCAAGTCCCTAGCCCAGGAGTCCAAGTCAAGTCCAAGTCCAAGTCCATGCCCTGGAGTCCAAGTCAAGTCCAAGTCCCCGGAACCGCATGTCCAAGTCAAGTCCAAGTCCCTGGACCTGCATGTCCAAGTCTCATTTCCTACGCATTATAATTATGGCCAATACCATTTAAAATCGACTAAAAAATATGAATTATTTGTACTGCACTGCTACAAAAAACGTTTATTTATACGGTATGCAGAAGCACGTACTGTAGAGGATGTGTGCAGTTTCAACAATTAAAATAAAGTGCAATAGTCTACGTTACAGAGTTACAAACATGTCACTACAGTGAGGGCACAGACCAAAACCCTTGTTTGTTACAGGATGACAATGGGACATTTAAAAAAAGTCTGAAATACATAATGTCAGCCAATGGCTGTCATTAAATCTGTTTGTTTGTTCACAGCATTTTACTGTTGGCACAACCAACATGAGCTGTTAATGCGAGTGAAAATTTACGTACCCCAGCTTTAATTTGACGAGTTTAGGAGGAGACACGGGGAGACATGGAAACGTGTCTATCATCCAGCTTTGTGCATTGGAGAGGTGTATAAAGACACACACATAACAAGCAGAGAATGGTCCTATGTGCGCGTGTATGGTCTTGTGCGCGTGTATGGTCTTGTGCGCGTGTATGGTCTTGTGCGCGTGTATGGTCCTGGGAACATTATGACCTGCTGCGCGCTGCCGTTGACAGAGCGGCTCACAGCTCAGACACAACTGATGCACAAAGTGATGCAGCCAACGCGTGCATTCCCGCTAGGGATGTGCATTTAAAGCAAAAGTTCTATTCGATAATCGTGGGGTACTAATCATTAATATTCGAATATTCGACAATAACTGCCGCCAGACTGCCCCCAACACCCACCGCTGCGGAAACAGATATAGATCCACGATTTTTCTCTTTCTTTTTTATTTTGACAGTGGATGCAATTCACAGCACAACATTATAGAACCGTTTTCTGTCTTTAATCCCATTAAACAAACAGGATATTATATACAATACAAAAGGTGCGTGTGCGGACCGGGTTTTCCTTCATAAATCACCCAATAATACCGTCGTCACGTCAAACAATTAACAAAGTGCGGAGACTTCAAACAATAATTATATAAATGTTGAACATTTTACTAAACATACCTGAGAGACAGCATTGCTGACGTGAACATTTTTTAACATGCTCGTCCTCATAATCCGAAAAATAGTTCAAGCCTAATCCAAGTTTTTATTCAGAAAGATCAGCATGTCCACATGCACGGGATGAAGACGGGAACGAAGTCTGTTTACAATAAGTCCCGCCGTGGAAAACACCCTTTCCGACGGCACAGATGTGGCGGGCACACACAAGTATGCACTCGCTAATTTTGCCAGCTGAGGATATTTGTTTTCGTTAGTTTTCCACCAGTCCATGGGATCGATCTGCGGGGGTGGACATTTGTCCTGGCAGTAACGGTTCAGTTCAGACTCGATGTCCGTTGTATCTTCTTTATAATAATCCTCACCAAACAGGGCAGCAATAGCAGAGACAGACGCAGCATCACTTCGTGGTTTCTTGGCCCTCAGCTCAGTCTCTTCGGGTTCAACTGCGACCGCCTCCACGAGCTCTGGCTCTGGCCTGCTCGAGAGGAGATCGCTCACCTTGGCCTGCACAGCAACTTTAACATCATCCGATGTGAACCTGAGATGCTTGTGCCTCGGGTCCAAGAAGGAGGCGATGTACGCCACTTTGCCGGCGCTGCAGACATCTGTCGGTGCGAGTCGCCGCTCAAGTGAAGCAGACACGGAGCGCTTGAACTGAGACACTTTGGGAGATTCTCCCTCATTTTCTTTAAGGTGCTTTGATATAAGAGTTGCTGTAACCGGATAAACCATAGAGATGGAGACTGCAGACTCTCCGCACAACGCAGTAGTAGCGTGTTTCAGCGAGTGTAGCACGGGCATGAGCTCCTCCATCACACTCCAGCTGTTATCTGTCAACTCGAGGGTTCGTGCATCTGACAGTTTGGTGAAGGCTCTGTCTGACAAGACAGCAGATATTGCCCATCTTTGTTCAAATAGTCGTTGGAACATATCGTAAATAGAATTCCACCTTGTACGGCAGTACTGGATTAATTTGTGCTCAGGTAAGTGCTGAAGTTGTTGTTTTTGTTTCAGCGCTTGTGTTGCTGTTGTACTGTGGTGGAAATGTGAAACCAAACGACTAGCAGATGTAACCACATTGTTTATGTGTTGAAGCTTGAATCCATCGTTTATAGCAAGCTGCAGTGAATGTGCGAAACAAGGCTGAGAGTCCCACTCCACGTGCTCGGTGTTGGCTCGTATCATGTTGCTTGCGTTGTCATGGACACAGGCTATGACTTTTCCGCGGATCCCCCAGTGGTCGGTAGCGGTGGAGAGCACGTTGGCAATATTTTCAGCTGTATGCCGCTCTGGCATTGCTTTGGTTTGCAGAACAGCACTCTGTATCTTCCAGCTTTGTATGTAATGGCAAGTGATTGTTACGTATGATTCTGTTGTCAGCGCTGTCCACGAATCAGTGGTCAAAGACACTTTTTCAACATTCGTTAGCTGAGTGCGCAGCTCACTTGTTTTATCATCAAAAAGTTTCTTAAGTCTGGTTGTAATGGTTTTTCTTGATGGGACTGAGAACTCTGGCTCAACAAATGCCATCAAACTCCGAAAACCCTCACCTTCAACGAAGCTGATGGGGAGCATGTCTTTTGCAATCATCTTTGAGACGCCGTTTGCTCCGCACGTCTGTCATCACATGTACGTCTTCTAGTGGCGAAGCTGGCAATTGACTGTTGCTGTGACGATGGCCCGCCACTTTCACACGGGTGCTTTGCTCTCATATGAGAGTGCATGGTTGTCGTAGACTTGTGATATGCAAGCTTTGCTTCGCAGAGTTTACATTGTACCTCTGTTTAAGTTGTTTTTTGGAAATAGTGCCACATGGAACTTTTAGACGACTGCTGCAGTAATTTCTCCATCGTGTCTTCTCCAGTTTGTTAATTTTCTACGACTTGGCATGTAGCCCGCCACTGTGTATCGTCAAATGGTACGCTGCCCCCGTGCGGAAGCCGCCAGTAATACCATTTTTTCCCCCCTCCAGATATGGTACACTATTCAATTTTTTATGATTTAACGACTATTCGAATATTCGAAAATCGATGTCCATCCCTAATTCCCGCACAGTCAAGACCCGCGATCGCGGCCAAAAAGCGCGCACAGCCGAGGAGCATGCACAGCCAAAGAGAGCGTTCCGCCATAGAGCGTGCACAGCCAAAGAGCGCGCTCCCTTACCAGCCTGTGAAATGGTTGGATCTGGAGCGTCAGGACCAGTGGGGGCGGGTCCCAGCTCAAAAGTGGCCAAAATGACGTGCGCTGACATGCTTGCAATACCACCCCGGGCCGATGGGGGTGGACCCAGAAGAAGAATTAGCCAATGCTAACATATAGCGTTGGCAGACCTCTCGAAAACGTCTTTACAGGATGGACCAAAAGTTGGCTCTTCGCCCAAATGTTCGTTCCACATGTGTGTCAATGCTGAGGGGGGTGAATTTTTTTGGTCCACTCTAGTTTACTTGCTGTGAATTTCTGAAGTCTCTCGTTCAAATGAATGGAGATGCGCCAGCTGACACATGCGCAGATGCGTTTTTTCACCATTTTCTTGTGGGCGGGACCACTCGCGGCCATTTTGGATTGCTCCAGTACAGCAAATGTTTTGGCCCATTAGTTAGAACGGCGGAGATAGGCGTGACTCTGTCCGTTAATATATACAGTCTATGGTCAGAACTCGCAAGTCCGAGTCCGAAAACAACAGTCCGAGTCAAGTCCCGAGTCTTTAGGGGACGAGGTGAGTCGAGTCGCAAGTCTCTAAAAATAGCAACTTAAGTCGGACTCGAGTCCGACTCGCGAGTCCCCATCTCTGGCGTCACCTCTGTCATGTGACTAGACGTGAGTCATTTCTCTGAACACAAGTGGGTTGAAAGAACTAAGTTGCAACCTTTAACCTTTCCACTGTGTTTCCACCGGGCTCGATCTTTTGTCCCTCTTTGTCCTAGTTCTATGCAGGCCGAGCTGGTACTAAAGTGTTCTAACCGACAGTAATTGACTAGATTGTTGCGGGAAGCCATGGTTACCAGGGAATACTGTTTGTTGTGGGATGGTTGCTAGGATACGGTACCAGATACGAAAAGCAATGGAAACAAAGAGGTGGAGCTGGTGGAAACGAGGCTTTATTCAACTGAACAGAATCCTGAATAAAAATAGTATTTCCATTCCTCGTGACTAAGACATTACTACAGTCGTTTCTGCCCAGTTTGTGGTTAAAAATAGCACAGTCTCCAGAGCTCCGTGAGTCAGCGGCAGCTCCTTGGACTCTTACCCGGCTCTCAGCAGCTGTAGCTCGGCTTCACCTCCCGCCTGTTCTCGGTGTCCTTCTGTCTCTGTCCCCGCTTCTACCTCACTGATAACCCCACACAAACTCCACAAAGCCGCTCTCTTCACACATTCCGTCATCCACAAACACGTTCAAAGTTATATTAAAATTGTTAATCCAGTTTTGTGGAAGTTTGAGACAACGAAGTCTCGTGGGATGCCTCCCGGAGACCAGACGCCACAGTCCGGGTTGAGCGGTGCCCTCGCCCGTTCTTCTATTATGGATCAAGCTCTCTTTTAGCAGAGTAAATAAGAGTTTTTAAAAGTTTAAAACAGAGCGACCCATGTCCTTGAAGCATGTGTAATACACGCCTTTAGTCACAAGGGACCGGGCTGCGACCGTATCCTCAAAACTCTCATTCCTTCTTCTGTCCTTCTTCCTTCCATGGACTTTTTATGACAAGTTACCTCCAGGTATGGGTAATGAAAGGTGTTTTAATGATACTTATTCAACAGAAAGTGTAATACTGGATACCACTAAGGCCAATTAAAACGAGAAGAAGTATAAGAAAGGAGATACGTATTAGAAATCAGATAGAGCCAAAAAAGTTGTTTCAAAATAAAATGGACACTGGACTTTAGTAAATACTGTATTTCATTCATTAACACAATTATACCGATGTAGCTATTCTTGGGATTAACCTGGCCTGTAGGGGGCGAATGGGCCGAGATGGGACAGCTCAGTTTTGCTCCCATTGAAAACGATGTAACTATGTAAATATGGAGTCAAAAAGCGCTCATGCTTTGGTTGTTTTAACAGTCTTAATCTGGAGGGGGACACGCAATTCTAAGGGAGTACTAAAAAATATTTCTCAAAAGAGTCTCGATTTTGGGCATTTTTGGAAAAAATAACAGAAGAAATTCATTCAGGTGGCCTGCAGGGGGCGCTCATCTGGTAAGCGCTGACTGGTTGTAGCCTTTATTTTTTTTCGGTTGAGTAACTTTTATGAGTTGCGGCCATTACATGGATCTATTTGTTGCGGCGTTAAGATAGCTTATTTTTTATTTTTGGCCTGCATATCAGCCAAACTCAGGAAACGAGCAGAGTTTGTGGCAGTAAATTATGGATTTAAAGAAAACCGAAGAAAAAAATTCAGGATGACAAGGGACACTAAAATCCCCACAAAATCCGATCTTTATGAAAGCTGTAAATTCTCTGTCAGCTGAGGTCGAGCTGTTTTCATTTACAATGAGATCTATGGGACTTTTTTTTTTGAAGGGACAGCTATAAGCTAGTAATACCCTATCCAGTTATATATAGATCCATGCTCAACACGGAGTCGGGGAGCGTTCACAGACGGTGGAAACCGTGGGAATTTTTAGTTTTCGGCGGAAAAAGTGCGGAAGATTGTCAAGGTATGCACATTATTACATAGCAGTCTTCCGAGAGGGGGCACTGGGGGTGGCAAGGGTATTTTTAGAGGTGGCGGGCGGTGGCCACCCTGGCTATCCCTCTGGCTCCGCCACTAAAGCGGCACCAGCGAGAATACAGGAGTGAGGAACTTTCTCTCGTTGCGTTTCAAAATAGAAACAGATGTCACCGTTCATTTACAGTGTCTGTCGTTCATTACACATAATGTGAACTAATTCACGTTCAAGTTCTTTATTAAAAATGTGTTCAGTTCAACACTTGGTTTTTAGGTGACATTGGTCTGTAAAATGCTCTATATAAATAAACATTACTTACTTAATTTCTTACTCACAAAGATAAGATATGATGAGCTTTATCGATCTCACAATGGAGAAATTTACATTAAGTACTTTTATATAAAGTACTCTAGTAGTGTGTTGCTTCCAATCTGAAAGTGTGTTCACATGATGCAAAAGAGTATCATTTTGTCCTCAGAGTTTCATGTTGATAAATGATTGTTTAGTTTAGAGAGCAGAGTTTGAGTTTTGATTGAGGAGTTTAATTGTTCCAGTGTTGTGTCAGGTTATCTTGTGTGTAGGGTTTTGGGACTACAGTATGAGCAAAATTTTGCTAAATGTGTTCAAGCAATAGGAAAAAACACCTGAAGACACTCACTCGCTCCTTCTCTTCTTTCTAAATAATCAAGTGTTCTTGCATAGAATCTAGTTATCAGGACATTATGTTAAAAGAGTGTTTTTCCATTGTTAGGACCAGGGTCTGGGAGTGTTAGGACCAGGGTCTGGGAGTGTTAGGACCAGGGACTGGGTCTGTGAAGACCAGGGACCAGACCAGACAGTAAGGACCAGGATCATTTCTACAGTAGTGTCCAAACTCTGTGCCATAAGGTTTGGCTGTGTTCGTTGCAGCCCCTCGCTTACTGCTGTTAGCTTACTGCTGCGGAGCTTCCTCCTGGAGAAGTCTGAAATCTTTTTGTTTACAGCTCCACAAATCACCACAATGACAATACAGGGACATCCTTACGGCCTCAAAAACTGTTTAAAGTATAATTTGTGCCCTATTTACGTAATTATTGATCAGAACTTTCATCATGGACTTGACTTCTGTTGATCCCAGAGTGACGAGCTCCACTGTCGCCACTATAACAGCTGCTTAACCCTCCTCATTGTTGAAAATATTGAACTCATTCAAACTATACAAGGCGTACGCTGTGTTGAAAATAGTTTTCACTCCAAATAAGAGTTATATCAAGCCAAAAAAAGTTCCTACGTGCCCGTTTTCACACATCTCCCAGTTTAATTGATTGGAGAAAAACGAGCTCACACCTCCTGTCCTACAGCCCCCTGCCATGCCCCCTGCCATGCCCCCTTTGGTCCACGTCATTGCAACTAGGGCTGGGCGATATGGCTGACAACTATATCACAATATAAGTAATTCATATCGGTCGATAACGATATATATTGATTTAAAAAATAAATAAAAAATTACCCAAATAAATACATTTGTCGTGTCGGCTATGCACGTTAGCAGCCTTGTTTACAGTCACGGGGGAATGAGGCTAGAGGAATATGTTCACAAGCACAGTGTCCCCCATTGTTAGTCATGGTCATGATAATGGTTTAATCCTAGTTTAGTCCTGGTTTATCTCGTGTTTTCGCTGTTTTCGAGTGTCTTGTGTTCCCGTGACGGCTCCGTGTCGTGAGGAAAAAGTTCATCTCTTGCTTTCGATCACGCGTCTATCGCAATATATATTGTTATATCGCCCAGCCCCTAATTGCAACCCAGCAATAAAGCTGGTGAGATGATGGTCATTTGTCATTCAGCCATTTTCAGTTCTGTCTTTGGCTCCTGGTCTGGTGAACTAAAGAGGCATCTTACAAACCTGTGTGGACAGCTCTGGTCTACATAAATATAAAACATATGTTCATAAAATATTAAAAACAAAGGCCCATGACAAATGTCTGTTTATTTTAATCGATCGCCGAGCCTTCTGAAACCCCTGAACTGCTGGCAGTAGTTAGAAGGAAGCTCGTTAGCTAAGAGGCTTGTTAGCAGGAAATATTTGCAATTTTTGTAACTCTGATTTGAATGAATTTTACTCTGGATATGCAGGACAAGTAAGGGATATGTCACGGGGTGAGATGAAAGAGGACTCCAATGCAGGAATGCCAAAAAAATGATTTGATAAAATAAAGTCCAAGGTAAAAAACAGAACTTCAAAATCCAAAATAACCATGAACAGGCCAGAACAGACGGAAGACATGAACAAACAAGACCAGCAACAAGGGGAGAGGAGCACAGGGTACATATAGACACACAGAGGTGAAACACATCAGGGCAGGCAGATAATCAAGACAGAAAGTACAACTCGAACCAAACCCCAGAGAACTTATTTCAAAATAAAACCAAAATACAAAACTAAAATTCACACCATGACAGGATAATGTATAGAACACAGGTTATAATCAGACTGAAGTCACAGGGCAAACTGCTCTGCTTCCACCCTGGAGTCAACAAATTTCTATCCCAGGTCTGAACCAGGACTGAACTAGGACTAGAGCAGATCTAAAGCCGGTCTAAAGCAGGACAAAAGCAGGTCTAAAGTAGAACTGAAGCAGGTCAAAAGCTGGATTACAGTTTTTCCTATTGCTTGCACACATTTTACACAATTTCGCTCATTGTCCCAAAACTCTACACACAAGATAACCTGACACAACACTGGGACATAAACCATTCACATTTTGGTCAAAATGAAGCTCTACAATAAAAAATAAAAAACAATCATTTTTTGGAGATTTCATGACAATTTGATGCAACTGTGATTAAAGTTAAATCATTCTAAACAATATGCACAAAGCAGTACTGAAAAACATCAAGAGAAGCCATACATCAGGATCAGCACACTGGGACAATCTGGGACAGGCCCTGATTCCAATCAGGCTGAGAAATGGACAATACCATTGTCCTCAATTGCATGGACATAATTTAGAACGGTTTGGATTGCTGAATCTGGACACTAAAGCTGAAACGTGTGATTGAAAGACACGTCACAAAAGAATTCACAACTTGACACTAGAAATGCAGCCTGAAGAAATCAACAACAGAAAGTGGGAGAGACTGTTTTCAAAGGAATTTATGATATGATCAATCATGGCCTCACAATGAGGGAAGCAGAGAGTCCAGACACAGCTGCATCATCAGGACCTTCAGATGGAAACCAGTCTCCAACTCTCTATCTACAGTATTTACAGTACTGTACTGTATTGCAAGTCTTTAGAAAAATGTAGTTTTGTGAAACCTATAATACAGAAAAGTACATAGCGTACTGTAGATGTCACAGTACTGTGTACAGTATACGGTACTGTAAAACAGAACTAAGCCTATTGTAACAATTTAGTGGCATATTTATACAGAATGACAAGAAGACCTTCTGGAGGTTGTCGACAACTGTTCACCAACAGCAGGAACTTGGCTTTGTGGAAACAGTCCGAGCAGGAACCATGATCCATAATCCACACACGCACAACTGCCTAATTTTATATTCGAGTCTTTTCATTTTTGTGTTACTGACACTAATGCAGTAAAATATACTGTACTACTGTGGTGTACAGTATTGAGTTGATATTATTTGTAAACGTTCAGTACTTCCTGGTTGTTGGTAAACCTTTGTTGAGAACAAAAACAGTTCCATTGATGCTTCACAGAAAACTGAATAAAAACAGTGTAAATGACTGCAGTGTTTTATATAAAGTTTTCTAGTGTGTTGCTTCCAATCTGAAAGTGTGTTCACAAGATGCAAGTGTGTATCTTTTAAAACTGTAAGAGAGATAAACAGCCTGATCAGAGCCTTATCGAAGAAGGAAATAATGTATGATCCTCCCCCTCACAGCCGCGCTCCTGGACGGGAGCGCGCATCGCCATACTAGAGGCTGCACTGAGACGAGAGACACGCACTCACCATCACCGACCTCTACAGCACCAAATCCGGCTCTACTGTGCCCGGAGGCAGCCCCGAAGCGCCCGGAGGACGCCTGCCAACTTCACAATGGGGGCCCTGCTCTGGGGTCTGGTCCTGGCCTCCGTCCTGACCGTTCATTGCGTTGGTAAGTCCCGCGTCTTTCGACCCAGAACGAAAGTGAAAGTAAACTGTGACGCACTTGTTTTTCAGTGATATATCGTTAAAATATTGCATTATATCACGGTTTTAACCCGTGGTTTCGAGCTCCGGGGGTCTTGGGGTCCTATGTAAGAGGGATATAGTTTAGTTTGTGATTCTGACGCGGAATTCAGAAACGCGGAAGACGCGACAAAAACCATATTCATTGTATTTATACAGTTTACTATGTAATGACACATTCTGTCATAGTGTGACTGATAGGACGTCCTGCTTTAGTCCTGCTTTAGACCTAATGTAGTCCTACTTCAGTCTCTGCTTCAGTACTTTTCTAGTCTCTGCTTTAGAAGTGTTTCAGTCTCTGCTTTTGACTTGCGGTAGACCTGTTATTGTATTTCCGGCTTTGTGTGTAGCCTATAGGAAGGTGTAGGTGTAAACAAAATGTATATCACGAAACCTTTTGAACACAGGCGCTTTGGCTTTGATGATCCCCCAGCTCTCTGAGGTCTGAATGTAACACACAGTGTTTGCGTCAAAAATGCATTGTGTATTATTTGTTCTGTTATTTAAAAGTAATGTAAAACACTAAAATATTACTATGAATTGAAATGCATTACACTACTTCTGCATTACTTTTAAATTACTTTCACCAAGCATATACTTACTACTGTAAATGTAGCTGATGCCATGATGCTTTTGGTTAAAGGGCACTTAACTCTACATCTTTGTAGTGTTTTTGTAGTTCGTCCATTTATAAAATGTACTATTTTCCAGCAAAAAGCTATACATTACAGTAATTATATTACTTTTGTAATACATTACTCCCAACACTAACCAAAAAACAGTTCAGTTTGCTGCTGCAGTGACATAAAAACCACAAAACATCATAGTCTTTACTAACTGTATGTGTTGCTCATGAGGCTAAAGTTACCCAGCTTTAATCACAGAATACTGAAAACCTGCATTCTACTGTACTTTGGAAGGTGTCCAAAAGCAGGTCAGAACCAGGACTAAACCAGGTCTTGACCCATGTCTAAACCAGGTCTAACCCAGGTCTGAACCAGGACTAAACCAGGTCTGATCTTTGGACTCGTCATCGCGCTGCCATAAAAACAGTAAAACATCACAGTCAGAGATTGTTGATGTGTGAGTTGTTTTTCGTATGACTTGAAGCAGGAAACTGTCAGAAACCGGTCAGGTTTGTGGAACCAGTCTCTCTGCATGGTCTTCAGCTGAGTCCAAACACACCCACTCAGGCCTGGTTCAGACTAGGGGTGTGACGATATATTGCGATACTTTCTCCCTCGATTCGATTTTATTTTTATTTTTTAGTATCAATACTTAATATATGGCTACATTACGCATCTCCATTCAATTTATCATGAAATAAAGTGTATTTTTTCACTTAAAATTCTTCTTTTATTTATGCCATAAATTTCTGACCAATATATCGATAATCGTAATCTCGTGATATAATCGTTATCGTGATATTATCGTTGTCGTGAGCTTTGTATCATGTATCGTATCGTATCGTGAGGTACCCTTAGGTTCCCACCCCTAGTTCAGACCAGGACTAAACCAGGTCGGAATTAGGGCTAAACCAGGTCTGAACCAGGTCTAATCTATGTCTGAACCAGGACTTAACCAGAACTGAACCAGGTCTAAACCAGGTCAGAACCAGATCTAATCCAGGTATGTCTAGGACTAAACCAGGTCTGAAACATGTTCTGAACTAGGATTAAACTAGGTCTGCACCAGGACTAAACCCGGTCTGAACCAGGACTAAACCAGGTCTATAGCTGTTCCAAAGCAGTACTGAACATTCCACTTCCACCAAACTCCTTCCGCTCATGTTTTTCCTGAGGATCCAAACTTGCGTCCCTGAGCGTTAACTCCACTCCGCCTTTGTCCACAGAACGCCACTCTCTGACCTACATCTACACAGCGCTGTCCAAGAAAGTGCCCAACCCCGGCATCCATGAGTTCACCGCCATGGGCCTGCTGGACACCAAGATGATCGACTACTTTGACTCAGATCAGCAGAAGAAGATTCCCAAACAGCCCTGGATGAAGGATAACCTGGACCCGGAATACTGGTCCAAAGGAACTCAGTCCAGGAAGAGCAAGCAGCAGTGGTTCAACGTCAACCTGGGAATCCTCAAGGATCGCATGAACCAGAGCGACACCGGTGAGAGCCCAGACCTACTCTACTCTACTCTACTTTACTCTTCTCTACTCTACTTTACGCTTGTCTACTCTAGTCTTTTTTGTATTTACATTTGACATAGACTAAAGTGTAGGGAGAAATCACTTGAATTTGATCTTTTGAATGTACAGAAGCATTATTTTCTCATTCCAATGAAGACATCTACTATTTTCATGATTGATGTAGACATTGGCGACATGTGCATAACTCACAAAAGATAAACAAATATTTAATTCAAGCTTTTATATGTATTCAATATTTTTCCAGTGAATCTTGTATTTCAAAAATGGTTGTACAATGGGTTAGAGCTGTTTGGACATTTACTAAAATGTGTGGGTGGGTAGTCGCTTTTAAGACTTAAGGTTTCTGTGTTCGCACTGTTTGATTCTCTGATCTGATGTTGGCGAATCGACAACTTTGTAAAGTTGAGACGAGGACTGTTATGATTTAGGGCTATATAAACATTGAATTGCACAGTCTACTCTACTCTAGTTTAAGAAGGTTCATCTTGTCTTCTTAGTAGATTAAATTATTTGGTTCTTCTGCACCAGACAATTGTAGTGATTCTGTAGTCATTATATGGGTTAAACACATATGACAGCATAACAAGCCGTGGAGCCGTGTTTGGGTTAGTCTCTCTGGTCTCTCTCTCTGGTCTTTTTCTGGTCTCTCTCTGATTCCTCTCTCTGGTCTCACTCTCTGGTTTCTCTCTGGTGTCCCTCTCTGGTCTCTCTCGCTCTGGTCTCTCTTTCTGGTCTCTCTCTGGTCCAGAACGTGGTAAGCTTGCTTTCACTATTATTCTAAAAGACATTGCTGCGGCCTGTATGAGGCTGTTGTGGTGAAGAAGGAGCAGTGTCTGCAGTCAGAGCTCCGTGCTGACCTCTGCTCCTCCACAGACCTGCATGTGCTGCAGTGGATGCACGGCTGCGAAGCGGATCTGGAGCCCAACGGTGATCTGCAGTTTGTGCGCGGCATCGACCAGTACAGCTACAACGGAGACAGCTTCCTGTACTTCGATGACTATGTGGGCGTGTGGGTGGCGGCGTCGAAGGAGGCAGAGCAAACCAAGAGGAAGTGGGACGATGTGGCGGTGCTAAAGGAGTACACCAAAGGATACCTGGAGAAGGAGTGTCTGGAATGGCTGAAGAAGTTCATGGAATTTGGAAAAAATCAGCTGATCCACGCAAGTAAGAACTCAAGGGCGTCAGGGACTGGGATATTTTCTCATTTAAAGAACCTTCTAACCATTAAACATGACAAGACATAACAAACTTTTAACATGTAATACTGCTGCTGCTACTACTACTGCTATTGCTAATGCTGCTGCTCTTGCTCAGGTAAAGTGTCTCACCTGGTCTTTCTGGTGTCCTGCAGAGAGACCAGATGTGTATGTGTTTGCTAGTCCGGCCCGGAACAAAGATAACGTGTTCCTGAACTGCATGGCGACGGGATTCTACCCTCCGGACATTGTGGTGCAGCTGAAGCGGGACGGCCTGGTTCTTAAGGACGTCCACACCACCGGCATCAGACCCAACCAGGACGACACGTACCAGCGCCGAGACTACATCGAGATCCTGAGGACAGACGAGGGCCCTTACATATGCGAGGTCATCCACGCCGCAACCCATGTGACGATTGCCAAGAAATGGGGTACGTGGAGAACTACGCCCAATGCACACATCCACTCAGTGCGTATGCTAAAGGCTACTCAGTAGGAGCCAGTGCAAGTTGGAACAAAACTTCATCCATGGGCACTTCTCTATCAGGCTTCATTTAGCTAGTGGGTTAGCATAGTGTTTTTATAGCACTATCTACAACATGGGTGTCAAACCAGTTTCTGAAAGGGCCGATGTGGCTGCAGGTTTTAGTTCCAACCTGAGCAAATCTTCAGGTTAACTGGATTCTGGAGTCTGGTACGAGGTTGTAACAAAAATTTGAGGCCACACCTTTGAGGACCGGTTTGACTCTATAGAGAACATGTGTTTGTCCGTGCCAAAGTGGTAAAAGTGTTGTTCTGTGGAGCAGACGGAGTTCTCCCACCGCACAGCGATGACGAGGCAGCGTCTCTGGTCCCTGTGATCGCCGGAGCAGTAGCTGTAGTAGTTCTGCTGCTGGTCGTTGGGGTTGTTGCCGTGGTGATTTACATGAAACACAAGAGACCCGTCGGTAAGTAAGCTCATCTGTGATTAGCCGAAGTGAACCGAGCTTGAGCCTGAACTTTTGTGTTTGTGTTACAGAAACGGGTGAGAACCAGCACCTCACCGCACCAGCACCTCACAGTCTCCATGACAGTTTTCTTCAATGCAAAGTGACACCTGCAGGACCCTGAGTGAACAGAGCAGTGCTAGTGCAGACCGGTCTCATCAAAGAGAGACCAGAGAGCGCAAAGAAAGACCAAAGAGAGAGACCAGCATGAGAGAAAGCAGAGAGACCAGTGAGAGAGACCAGAGCTGAAACATTTCATATTGAACAAAAAACCACAGGGGTCATGATTTATCACAGTGCAAACAACAAAAGGTTATGTCCCTTTTATAAGCTTACATTTTAATAATAGCAAGTCACGTTCAGGAGATGGTTATTGTGTACCTTCAAGATTCAATTGTGTTCCTCTCATGTCCCACTAAAGCACTTTCTGGTCTCTCTCTGGTCTCTCTCTGGTCCGTCTCTCTGGTCCAGGGATTAAAGAGTTCCGTCTAGGTGACGGATTTCCGTCAAATGAAATTGGTCTGGAAAAAAATATATATATATATAATGATAATAATACACACAATGAAATGATTGATTATAAAAATAATATATAGTAATACATATACGTGTGAATCTGTTATATATATATATATATCGATGTATAATAATAATTTGAATATAATTGTATTTATATGTATATAGAAATAATAAGTAATATAATCACGAGTGGGCCTTGAACGTGCCGTGGCCACATGAGCGCTCCGCAAATGAATCAAGGCAATGGGACGTAGCTGAGCTCACGCGCAAATGAAGACGCGATGAAGTTAGCATTGGTAACACGGAGGTGAAAGTTTCTGGAAACTGCACGGAGCTTTTGAAAAGGAGAAGAGGAGGAACATTGAATCTCGAACGGAGCAATAACAGCAGCAGATCCGCGGACTGGTAAGCTGGGCGCGTAATAGACGAAAGGTAATTAACGTTTACCAAACGCAATGCTATTTTACTTAACGGAATGTACAAAACGGACTTTGCTGCGACTGGGAATAGGGACAAACATGTCTTGGTGAGCTTTTGATATTGCCTTGTTTGCGATCTTCTTGCAAAACTCAGCGTGATGTAAAAGAGCCAATCAACGAGTCATGGTGCGAAAAGATGAAAGTGGCCGGTGCTTGTGCGTACTTTGCCATAAAAAAATTGCATATATGGGAGTAATGAGAAAAAAGTTTTGATTCGCCACCAGCTCAAAACTGCGCACAAGGCAGCTGTTTGTGCACTTTCCCACACTTCATCTTTACCTGGTGCATCAGCAACAACTGACACTATCTTGCTCTAGCAGATCGTGTCTGTGGCTTTATCGCAGAAAATAACGTTCAGAATATCACTACCGCTGGTAGATTTATTTAAATCATTTGCAGTTGATCGAAGTGCACTGTGCACTCAAACTTGATAGGGAAACCTTTTTCTTAAATATTGACGTGTCCACAAACAAATGTGGACAGAATTTTATCGTCCTTTTGCGATATTTTGACGAGGACAGAGCCAAAGTGTTGACGCTCCATATCGCCTCAAGTAAAGCTACTCTCACTAATATTCTGTCAAAAAGTTGACTCGTTGCTTGATCCACTTATATTTCATATCAAAATACACTGTATATCTTTGAAGAATTAATTTGAGCTGTATTCAATATACAATCTATTATACAATAATATATTGTAATTAAAAATATAACTTGGTCCTGCATATTACTGTGATTTACATGTGATAAATTTCCATGCAAAAATGTTCAGTCAAATCTTTTTTTTTTTGCTTTAACCCCTGCTCTGGTCTCTCACTCTGGTCTCTCTAATATTGTGTGCATACGCTTAAACTGTCTTCTCTTTACTGTAGGCTCCAATGGCTCCAGTAAGAACTCCAGCTCTGACAACGTGGCTGTAGGAGTGCCTCTGCTGAATTCTGGTAAAAAGAGATGAAGAGAAAGAGCTCCTTCACCAAAAACAACACATTCGTTGAAAACCTTTTTTTAATAGAAAATTAAAAAAACTTGATTTGATTTTGTTCAACATTTCATATTGAACAAAAAACCACATGGGTCATGATTTATCACAGTGCAAACAACAAAAGGTTATGTCCCTTTTATAAGCTTACATTTTAATAATAGCAAGTCACGTTCAGGAGATGGTTATTGTGTACCTTCAAGATTCAATTGTGTTCCTCTCATGTCCCACTAAAGCACTTTCTGGTCTCTCTCTGGTATTTGTAACACAGGTGCCGAATTCACTCTGAATATACGTTCATGCCCTTCTCCTAATCTATGCTTAGTTGCGTGCTATCGCGAGATTAGGGTCATGTGACCACGTCCCGCCAATCACGTCCCTTTATTATCCGCTACCCGGAAGTTACCGGTAGACGTGAGGGAAGCCCAAGCATTTGCTGCTGCAGGAGCCAACTTCCAGTGCCGGACCGTGACATATGAGCCAGGTGTTAGGATAAAAGTGGACTTGGCCAGGCTTTTTATGGTTGATGGCGAGCTACCGAAACAGGATTCTAGCCTGAAGAAGAAGTATCACTCCACCTGGAGATTCCTACCAGGAACCCCAACCTCCTGCTCTGTCCGGGCTGGTAGGAGGCTCTCGCAGCCACCCTCACAACTCACTCGCACCTTCATTCTCCGGCCCTCTCATGCTCATTCACTCACTCTTCCCCATGGGTCACTACCTTACCCTGGATACTCAAACCTGACCCCGGGTCGTGTTGAACTGTTGCCACCTGTGCGAATACTACACTTAAGTAGGAGTTAAAGGATCGCTCCGCTTACTTTGCTTTGTGGACACTGCACCTTGTATATAATTGATGTGGGATTATGGTTTCTCTACTGTGTAAATACTGTTGTTTCTACTTGAATGGCCATTCTCAATGTGTTGTCTGTCTTTGTTAACTTTTTATGCATAATATACGGTACCAACCAAAAAGCAAGTTACCGTCTCTGCCTCCTCTCTCCGAGCCGACACCTAGTCTTCTAGCCTAGTCCATTTGAATAGCCTAAGACCAAATTCTATTGCATTGTAACTATAAGCGTCCTATATTCTATATGGTATTGGTTATTTATTTAATACGTGTTTAATTGCAGCAGATTGGCTACATATTTCCCTCCGGTAATTCTTTCTGGTCCGTCTCTCTGGTCCGTCTCTCTGGTCCGTCTCTCTGGTCTCTCACTCTGGTCTCTCTAATATTGTGTGCATACGCTTAAACTGTCTTCTCTTTGCTGTAGGCTCCAGTGGCTCCAGTAAGAACTCCAGCTCTGACAACGTGGCTGTAGGAGTGCCTCTGCTGAATTCTGGTAAAAAGAGATGAAGAGAAAGAGCTCCTTCACCAAAAACAACACATTCGTTGAAAACCTTTTTTTAATAGAAAATTAAAAAAACTTTTTGATTTTGTTCAACATTTCATATTGAACAAAAAACCACAGGGGTCATGATTTATCACAGTGCAAACAACAAAAGGTTATGTCCCTTTTATAAGCTTACATTTTAATAATAGCAAGTCACGTTCAGGAGATGGTTATTGTGTACCTTCAAGATTCAATTGTGTTCCTCTCATGTCCCACTAAAGCACTTTCTGGTCTCTCTCTGGTATTTCCCTCCGGTAATTCTTTCTGGTCCGTCTCTCTGGTCCGTCTCTCTGGTCCGTCTATCTGGTCCGTCTCTCTGGTCCGTCTCTCTGGTCTCTCACTCTGGTCTCTCACTCTGGTCTCTCTAATATTGTGTGCATACGCTTAAACTGTCTTCTCTTTGCTGTAGGCTCCAGTGGCTCCAGTAAGAACTCCAGCTCTGACAACGTGGCTGTAGTGCCTCTGCTGAATTCTGGTAAAAAGAGATTAAGAGAAAGAGCTCCGACTTCATCAAAAACAACACATTCGTTGAAAACCTTTTTTTAATAGAAAATAAAAAAAAAACTTTATTTGATTTTGTTCAACATTTCATATTGAACAAAAAACCACAGGGGTCATGATTTATCACAGTGCAAACAACAAAAGGTTATGTCCCTTTTATAAGCTTACATTTTAATAATAGCAAGTCACGTTCAGGAGATGGTTATTGTGTACCTTCAAGATTCAATTGAAGGTACACCTTGACATATCTCAAACCGAAAGAACATATAATTAACGCGTTACACTCTGCTCTCTCCTGAAGTTCTCGTGGGAAAACTGCAGAAAGACGAGCACCGGAACTCCCAAGACTCAGCCATTGGTGAGTAACTTCCACCTGTGTTCCTCTCATGTCCCACTAAAGCCCTTTCTGGTCTCTCTCTGGTATTTCCCTCCGGTAATTCTGTCTGGTCCGTCTCTCTGGTCCGTCTCTCTGGTCCGTCTCTCTGGTCCGTCTCTCTGGTCTCTCACTCTGGTCTCTCTAATATTGTGTGCATACGCTTAAACTGTCTTCTCTTTGCTGTAGGCTCCAATGGCTCCAGTAAGAACTCCAGCTCTGACAACGTGGGAGGAGTAGAAGTGCCTCTGCTGAATTCTGGTAAAAAGAGATGAAGAGAAAGAGCTCCGACTTCACCAAAAACAACACATTCGTTGAAAACCTTTTTTTAATAGAAAAAAAAAAAAAACTTGATTTGATTTTGTTCAACATTTCATATTGAACAAAAAACCACAGGGGTCATGATTTATCACAGTGCAAACAACAAAAGGTTATGTCCCTTTTATAAGCTTACATTTTAATAATAGCAAGTCACTTTCAGGAGATGGTTATTGTGTACCTTCAAGATTCAATTAAAGTGACGGTAACGTAAACATTCTAAATGAACATAATCTAAAGTAGTTTTAAAGGGACATTTACAAACATCCTTAAATTAAAGTGAAATAATAATAGTGCATTAAAAGAGTGAAGATAAAATCCATCAGTTGTATGCACAGCTAACCAAAACCTGGATTTGAACATTGTCAGAGAATAAGCAGGATGAATCTGTAATGTAGCCCCCCCCATGTCACTCTGGGCACCAGCAGGAGGCCAGTCCCTGCGCTCCTCAGAGTCCGAGTTGGTTCATATGGCACTAAGTCACCATGTTGGCTCTGTGTTGGTGCCACTCAAATGCAAACGTTCTCCATCTTTCTCTCAGTTTGTATGTTAGTTAGTGTACCCACCTCCATTGTTCTTTACATTTGTTCTCGGCGACTGTGCATGTCCAAATGTACGTGCAGGGAAGTGGTGAGGTCATTACAGGCAGAGAATTCACACCTTTTTCTTCACGCAGCTGTGAAACAGGCCCCGCTGAGCAGTGTAACTGTAATGCCGCTTTTCCGCAGTATCAGTACTGTACAGTACAGTACAGTACACTTCAGCGCGCTAGTGGATGGTATGGGAGATTTGAGTACTTTTCCGTACTGCCTCAGCCGTGGTTCCATCCCCATAGTACCCGTGCCATGACGTCACGTCGGCCCTAGAGCCCTGCACGGGCCTATTATCTGGGCCCGAGCCCGGCCCTGGCCCGAGGGGGTGGCGCCCCAGCCCGGCCCGGCCCGATATGGTTTCTGAATTTTCAGGCCCGAAACCCGCATCAAGCCCGCCTTTTTTTTTTTTTTTGTAACCTCCCATAACAATGTTTTAGCGTAGTATATAGTGCCGCGCACTGATATGAACGCAGACTTAGCTAGAGGGCGGAGTTATACATGGTAGTGATGTGTTGCAATGAGTTCTGTGTGTGCGGAGTGGTGCAGAGTGAACGGCCGCATCTGCATGATGCCCCCGATGCTGCAACACATCTGCACATTACATAAGTAATGCTATGTGCCGTCAATGACAACACTACACAGAACAACAAACACTACAGCGTGATAGAACGCTATATTCAGTGGGTGCGTTCGTAAATGTATTCTGCCGCTCTGAAAATGAAGAGCCCGAGCCCGGCCCGTGTCCGAGGTCATTATGCGGTCATCGGCCCGAAGCCCGGCCCTCGGGCTGTCGGGCCGTCGGGGCCCTCGGGCCAAGGGCTCAAGTGCAGGGCTCTAGTCGGCCCACTGCCTTACACTGATTGGTCAACGAGTGTCGTCACTGGAAGCGACATCTGACCCTTTGGGAAAAACAACTCAACCGCCATCTTTAAAACCGGCTGCTCTGCTCGGCTCTGCTTCGGCTACATTACGTCCTCCTCACTCCAGAGAAATGGAATTGCACAGAAAGCCCCAAAAGTCCTGGTCCTGGTCGGTGGACGAGGTCCACACGTTCCTCTCTTCAGGCCAAAAGAAAGAATTCAAAGGCAGCTGGAGGCTCACAGTTTTCAGGGAGATCACCCAGCTCTGGATTTCTGACTAGTCTGTGGTAATCCTGGAAATAACTGGTTAGATACGAATCCCGTTGGCCCAAAGCGCTCACTGAAATGTATTTACTGTGTAAATGTTCGATTGTCTGTTGTACACAGTGAGCTAGCTACAATTAGCTTCATTTAGCTATCAATAGCAGCTAAGCTAACGTCCTCCCTGTGCTACTGTGCTTTATCTCGTATTATCTGCAGTATTCACGTGTTGTCATTCTGTTTTGTGCTTGTATTTAAGTTGTCGTGTGTATATTTGTATGAGAATCTCTTCCCATAAGTGTGGAGATTACCAACGAGTAATGAGTGACCGGAGTATTCTCCTCATCTGGACCTGGTCTCACACATACGTACTTTTGACTTTGTAAACTGTTGGTTTTGCACTTTACTTTTGTTTTCAATAAATTTGACTGTGTTTCATTCATTTATTATTATTGTAGCTGAGGTTTGGGTATTGATTGTTTGTCTGGTCTCGGAGTCTGCTGTAGTCCGGACCCGAGTCCGGACTAGCCTAGCCTAGCCTAGCCTAGCTTAGCCTAGCCTAGCCGCTAACTCGCTACCCCTATGGCTGCCGCTGTCTCTCCCTCGATCCTTTACTGCTCGAGTTGCCATATGACGAGTTTAAACCCCGGATCCTCCTCTGAGGGCAGTGATAGATGTGTTAAGTGTAGTATTGTAGTAGCTTTGGAATCCGGGGTTAGTGAGTGAGCTGAGTCTCGAGCTAGCGCTAGCATTAGCTATAGCCTAGCGGTATCCTCGGACATGCAGCCCTCCTCCTCTGTTACACAGGCTGCTGTTGCTAAAGGTCCCATTCAGATTGTACAGAGCAGTCAGCACCATTGACTTCACAGATTCCGAGTCATTCTTTAAAGACATAAGCATTTTCAAAAACTACTCGAGCTGTGCTGAATTTTCTATTAAACACTTGCTCTGATATTATAATAAATCCATGCACCGCACCAGTACTAGTTCTACGTCATGGTGCTACGTCCCTTAGGACTTCGCTAGTGGGATATCACTCGTGACCCCCAGGTCACACGCCAGAGAGATCAAAATAATTTGCTCCAATCACCAGCCACCTTCCTCTATAAATGCCCCTGCACAAGGCTGCACCCCCTTTTTCACTCTGGCGCCGTTTGAGATCTACCACAGTACTTACTTCATTCTGAGATGTCTTTCTTGTTCGTCCGAGTTCCCTTCGCCCTCCGGCGTCGGACGTCGTCACTGGATCCAGACGGTGGAGGACTTCACCTCTGTGGGCGCCACCACTCGAGGAAGGAGGAGGATGCAACCCACGTTGTGCCCGCGGATGGACCCGTTCGTCCATTACGCGACACGTGAGTGGCCTAAGCCCCTAGCAGTTAAGAGGCCTGCTCTGGGGTACGACATATACTGCAGCGTGCAGGACTGGTCCTGGACCGGTGATCGAGGATTCAGTCCGCATGGCCCTGCAGCCCTCCGCATCCGTGTGGCCCGGCACCAGACCTCTCCTTCCCTCCGAGCGAGACAGGATGTCTTGGCGATGCCGGATAGATGTTATGCCATTGCAGCACAGGTCCTCGCATTGACTAACAACATGGCATTCATCACGGGGGCCCTGGATATGTCGCTCTCTTCTGGACAGGCGCTCAGTGGAGACCTCCTGTCACAGGCGAGGACCACCTCGGCGGCAACTCTGCGCATGTGCCAGACGCTAGCTGTGGATGGTGGCCGCTCCATGGCAGCAGCCCAAGTCGGGCCAGGCACCTTTGGCTTGGGCTGGCTAACAACAGGGAGGCGGAGAGGAGGCAGCTGCTGGACCTGCCCATCTCTCAGATGTCCCTCTTCGGCCCGGACATGCAGGCCTGGGTGGCGAGACTGGAGTCTGCAGCTAAAGACTCGGCTAGGCTAGCCCCGCACCTAGCACCGAGGCGCGAGGCCCACCAGCCATTACGGAGCGGGACAGAGGCAGAGAGCGTTGGCCCGGGAGGCATCCTGACCCGTATCCGCGCTCTGTTGTCCATCGTCCCCTCTCGACGAGGCCCCCGGGTCCAGACAGACCCATGGGTGGCTCGCGGGAGCAACGCACCCACCACCGACCTCCCTATGGTAGAGGAGGCCGGGGTGGAAGAATTTTTCCTTCAATAAAGGCCGACCGGCATTTCATCATTACTTTTCTGAGTCTGATTTGGGGGTATGTAACATGTCAAATATTGTGAATTCTGATTGTGTTACTTCCCGGGCACATAACGTTGCTTCGCTAGGCCTGCAGCCCCAGAGAGGGGCGTGCAGTGCACTACGCGAACTACGAGCTCCGGTTCTCTGATCCATAAGCTTGCGTGACCCTCCACATGTGGTACGCTACGCACTGCTCAATAAACCACTTTAGACAAGTGTGAAACATTTACTTTATCACACACACACACACACTCTGGGTCAACAGAGGACAACTCATTACACATTCAAAGTGACACCTCTTGGAAAATACAGTGCAGTAACACCTTTCACCACTTGCTCAATAGCGCCGACCCTATTCTGAGGAGTTCAGGGTGCAGTACCACATTTTCACCACTTGCTCAATATCGGTGCCTATAGTATCTACTCACGGGGTTTCCCACTCCAGGGGCTCGCCCCCCCCTCCATGAGGCAAGAACCAGGGGGGGGCACAGCAGCCGAGTCACGTGTGGTGAGCAGTCCCGTACTTATGACGTCGGGCCTGCAGAACACGTGACCGCCCCCGGCGCTCACGGTGTGACGCAGGGTGCCCCCCCCCGGCCCTTTCGTCCACCCCCCCTCCCTGCTAGGAACACCAGGAGAGGGCGGGGCCGTGACGTCTCGTGTTCCAGCTCCCGTTCCGCTCCTCACAGACTTCTACAGCATCTGGAGGGAGCAAAGATGGCTGACATATCTATGGCTGGAGAGAACATTGCGCAGGGGTTGCGCACTGCAATTCTCCCAGAAGCCACCACCATTCCGAGGCGTACGGGCAGCACGCTCTCAGGTACGGGGTCATTAGAGGCACTGCAAGCGGAGGTCTCCTCTCTGCTGAGTCTAGGCGCAGCAGTAGAGGTAGACCCGCAGGAGGCCACCAGGGGGCTGTACTCCCCTTACTTCTTAGTGCCAAAGAAGTCAGGCGGGGTGCGTCCCATTTTGGATCTGCGCGTGTTGAACGAGTGCATTTCCAAACGGCAGTTTCGGATGCTGCCCACAAAGCAGCTCCTCGAGTGTGTCAGGGAGGGAGACTGGATGTCCTCCATAGACCTGACTGATGCGTACTTCCACGTGCCGATAGTACCGGAACACAGGAGGTTCTCTGCGCTTCGCAGTGGGAGAGAGGAATTACGAGTACTGTCGTTTTCCCCTTGGGCTACGCACTCGCGCCGTGGAGCAGGGGTAAGAATTAATCTACATAGACGTCGGGTTAATTCTGGCCTCATCCAGGGAAGTGGCCGTGAGTCATACGCACTGGGTCCTGTCCCACATACAGCGCCTGGGCTTGTGGTTAACAGGGAGAAAATTAACAGTTACCTATCGTAACTTAAGTTCTACGAATAGGTGCACGTGATATCCCACTAGCGAAGTCCGCTAGGGGACGTAGCACCATGACGTAGAAGCAGGCTGCAACCGGCTCAGCGCATGATCTATCTCGGTCTGCAGCTAGACTCTGTGACATTCCGTGCTGCATGGTCCGTGGACAGACGGATGAACACTACCCGTCTGCTCGGGGAGGTTCTAGCGGGCCCCAGAGTCCCCGCTCGGCGCCTCAGGTCCCTGCTGGGAATGATGGCGGCGGCTCATGCTGTGGTGCGGCTAGGCCTTCTCCACATGAGGAATTTTCAGAGGTGGTTCTCACGCCTCAGGCTTCACCCCTCCCGGGACGGGGGGAGGCTGATCTGGGTTCCCCAAGTGGCAGCATCGAACATCAGGTTCTGGCTCACTCCGGGTCTTCTACGGGACGGAGTGACTCTGGCCGGCGCCGTGTCTCACGTGGAGATGTTCACGGACGCGTCGCTCGAAGGATGGGGCGGGATCCTCGGCCAGAGTTCTGTAGGAGGCTGCTGGTCGGACTCAGCCCGTCACATCAACCTGCTGGAGATGGAGGCAGTGCACAGGGTACTGCTGCACTTTGCTCCTCAGCTGCAGGGGAGACACGTGATGGTGCGCTCAGACAACACCACAGTGGTCTCCTATCTGAACAGGCAGGGGGGCACCAGGTCCCCCGCTCTCTATCGCATGGCGAAGGTGACGCTGCTGTGGGCGGCGCTTCACCTCCTGTCTCTCAGGGCGCGCCACGTCCCGGGGGTCCGGAACGTGGGGGCCGACAGGATGTCCAGGGGGGGGGCCCACTCCAGGACGAGTGGGGCCTGGCCCCAGGGGTGGCTGCGGAGATCTGGCGGAGGTTCGGCCGTCCAGTGGTCGACCTTTTTTTTCGCCAGTGCAGGAAACGCACAGTGCCCGTCCTGGTTCGCCTCAAGGGCCGCGGACCAGCCGCCTTTAGACGTGGACGCTCTGGCTCATTACCCCTGGCCAGGGGGCCTGCTGTACGCGTTCCCCACCAGTGCGTCTCCTGCCGGTCCTGCTGCGGAGGATCGAACAGGAGAGGAGGTCGGTGATCCTGGTGGCACCGGACAGTCCGCATGCCCGGTGGTTCCCCTTCCTGAGGGGCATGGCGGTGATGGAGCCCTGGGCCCTCCCGGACGAGCCGGGGGCTCTAGTCCAGGGGGGGAGGAGCCCTGTTTTCACGCCCGATAATCGGCCGCAGGCTCTGGGTTGGAGGCTGAGAGGCGGAACCTCGTAGACCTGGGTCTTCCCCCTGCGGTGGTGGAGACCACTCAGGGGGCGAGGGCGCCGTCCACTGTCAGGGCCTACGCCACGAGGTGGAGGCTCTTTAGCGACTGGTGCGGTTTTCGTTTCTGGGATCCCAGGCGTTGCCCGCTGGAGGGGGTCCTGGGATTCCTACAGGAGCTCTTTGACAAGGGGAGGGCTGTCGCCACCTTGGCGGTTTTCGCGGCAGCCATTACTTCGGGTCACGACGGAGTCGGGGGGTTCACAGCCCGTTCTCATCCGTTGGTTAAACGTTTTCTGCGGGGGGCACGCAAGAGGAGGCCCCCGCTCCAGAGAACGCCCCGGTTTGGGACCTCAGGGTGGTCCTTAGGGGGCTGTCGGGTCCGCCTTTTGAACCGGCGGCGGAGGCGAGTCCCGAGTGTGTCGCTTTAAGACGGCCCTCTTGTTGGCGTTGGCGTCTGCTAGGAGGGCGGGCGACTTGTGTGCGCCCTCTGTCCATGCGTCTTGCCTGTCCGTGGAGAGGGGGACGGCATGGTGGTATTGTGGCCCAATCCGGCTTTCTCCCCAAGGTCATCACGTCGGCCTTTAGGTCGAGAGTCATCAGGATTAGGGCTTTCTATCCGCCACCGCATGCCTCCCCCGAGGAGGAGCGGCGGCACCTTCTGTGTCCTGTCAGAATGCTGAGGCATTACCTGGCCATGACGGCGTCATTCAGGTTGGGTGGCCAGCTGTTTGTGTGTCTGGGCCCCAAGAACAGGGGCGCCCCGCTGTCGGCTCAGCGGCTGGCGCACTGGGTTGCCACGGCTGTGCGGCGGGCGTATCAGACGCAGGGTCTGGCCCTCCCGGTGGGCTTCAGGTCGCATTCCACGCGTGGGATGGCGGCCTCTACGGCCCTTCTCAGGGGGGTGTCGGTCGAGGACGTATGCCGTGCGGTTGCTTGGGCTTTCGTCCTCCTCTTTCGTCCGGTCTTATCTTTTGGATGTGTCGGACCGGTCGGTGGCCCATTCTGTGCTGAGTGCAGCGGACTGAGTTAGACCGTTAGGTCCCTCCTCTGAGGGGGCCTTCGGTTTACTTTCCGCCCTGGTTCAGGAGCTCTTGGGAGAGGCATCCTACAGGTGCGGTACATATATGTGTGTTTTGGTCGGTCTGGTAGTCCACGTCAGGAGCCCTTGGGAGAGGCGTCCTGTGACTACGGATGACCTATATCTGTGTTACGTGGGGTATCCTTGGTAGGAGTGGCCCTGTAACACGCATTGTTTCTTCTGCCCTAAGTCCTCTCACTTGTGAGGGTCTTGCTCGGGCGGAGCTCCAATCACCCTTCGCTGGCCTGCTGGGAGTACATTTTCCTACGGCCTCCGCGTTGTGTCCCACTAGCGAAGTCCCAAGGGACGTAGCACCATGACGTAGAATTATTAGTTACTTAATATAACTTAAGTTCTACGAATAGGTGCGTAGTCCCTTAGCTACGAGCCCATCAGGCCAGCCCGGCTTGGCAGAGTTCAAGAGGGGGTGCGGCCTTGTGCAGGGGCATTTATAGAGGAAGGTGGCTGGTGATTGGAGCAAATTTATTTTGATCTCTCTGGCGTGTGACCTGGGGGTCACGAGTGATATCCCACTAGCGAAGTCCTAAGGGACTACGCACCTATTCGTAGAACTTAAGTTACATTAAGTAACTAATAATTATACATTTAGCAACAGACACAATTCTAATCTGTTTTAGTTTAGCTGGTGCAGGAGGCCTGCAAAGAGAAAACACTGTTCAAATTAGGAAAAGATTCAACTCTGTCTAAGGTTTGCTTTGGGGGTTACAGAGGAGTAGTATTTCTAGCTTATTTCGAGCGTGTATCCTATATGTTCTACTATTAGAACATATTTTTATACAACAAAAAATCTCTTCCTGTTTTATTGTGAAAGGCCTCGGGTGGCAGAAGTGCTGCTTGTTATGCTCTGAGTTCGTGCTTTTGTCACATTTGTACAGTCTTTTCATTCTTAGGTGTTTTTCCGCTGGTTGTGTCCGCTGTCTGCGCCTCTGCCTGCGGCCGGAGACATGTGCTGTTCCCATGTTTTGAGTCTGGAGCCCGGGGCACATCTGTAGAGAGGAGAGCGGAGCTAACAGTGAGGGGAGGCTACAGCGGCCCAGGCTAACACCCTGCTCCCGGAAAGGATGGAGGCTGCGCGGGTCTGACTACTGCTCTGCCCGAGAGGTGAGCACTGCCCGGGGTCCTTCACCCATGTACCCCGGGAACGCGCTCTACAGGCGGCCACAGCGGAGGGGGGAGCCCGGGGGCCGTGCTAGCTGCTAGAGGAACAACTCGCGCAAAATTAAAGCTGGGCTACCTAACTTTTATCTTTTAACACATGTAATTTGTCCAACATAAAAAAAGTCTTCTGAAATAAAGTACCATGTTGTGAACAAATCAGACCACAACATGTCTATTAGAACACAAGTTGTCTTCTGTGCCAAAGAGAGCCCTGTGAGTCACTATTGGACTCTTTGGGTGGTCCTCTTTATAACTATTCTGTCTGAAAAGCTGATCTAAAGATGTGACTGGCCAGAAATGCATGCATCTGAAAACTAGGGATGGGAGCAAACTGTTGAGAGCAGGGAATGAGTGTCATGGATTCTATTACACAGTTCCATTGTTGTTGTGTGAAAGTTGCGTACCCCAGCTTTAAAAACTGACGCATGCTCATGCAAACTCCAGCTGTTTATGGCCGCTCTGTCTGAACCAGAGGACACGAGCGGCCATGTCTACTCATGTGTGTAGAAGTGCCTGCACTAGCTGTGCACTAGTGCACCAGTAGCTCGTGCACCAGTGTGTGCACATATTTTTGATACTTAAAACGGAGTGCACTTTCCACTTCTACCACTAGAGGCAGACCCCACACTTGCAGTGTCTCAGTGTGCTCTGGTCTGGTTCCAGGACTCTTCAAGACTCGCGGATCGCCGGTATCTGATTGGTGGCAGCAGGATGTCTCGCCGCAGGAAGTCTTCCACGCCGTGCATGCTCCCCAAACAGGAAGTAGAGTCCGAACAGGAAGACCTCTGCAGCCAATCAGAGCGCAGTGCTGTCAGAGGTGGCGGGACAAGAGCCTTGGATAGTGACGATGACATCATGCAGGTGACAAAACATCAGGACTTATGATCTCACTGACCTCAGTGTCGCCAAGTAACGTGACGCATTGAAAAACATAATCAGACTGTTATAATGTAAAGAACTGTTCTGGTGTCTCCAGGCGGACTTCGTCCCATCAGGAGCAGCAGGAGTGTCTGAGGGAGGGTACGAATGTAAATACTGCAGCTTCCAAACCTCAGACATGAACCGCTTCACGGACCACGTGGACTCGGAGCACCCCCATGTGGTCACTAACACTTCCTACGTGTGTGTCGAGTGTGACTACAGCACCAAGAGGTAAGACCAGAGACAAGGGCCCGAGACCAGGGCTGGGCATGGGGCTGGGGGTCGCGTGTGTGTGTTGTAAAGTTTCTCTGCCCACTACTGTCCGGGCGCTAGAACTACATACGTTGATGCTCGTATGAACGCTGTGAAATTTGCATTAGGAGCCTGGTTGTTTCTGCGCAGCGTCTCCGGATAAACCGGCCCTTAAGCCTAGTGTATACTCGCGTGGCGCGAAGCTAACGGAGGTGTCGTGACGTCACTTGCGCAACGCGTTGGTCACCGCAAGGCCCTTACGTTGCCTGCCGCGCAGCATCGCGGCAGGCAACTGCCTTACTACGTAAGGGTCGCCGCAAGGAAGCTCCGCTGTGATTGGTCCGTGTGTGTGTATTGGAAGGAAGCATGAAGCGGCTGCAGCAGGGACATGGACGAGGCACTATGGAGCAGAGAGCTTTGTGCTTCGAAGGAAACGAAGGAAAAGCAGTTTGGGCTCAGAGCCTGATATACGGGGAGACTGTGGAACATATCTAACATATACAGTGCGTTGCGAAGGTATTCGGCCCCCTTGAACCTTTCAACATTTCGCCACATTTCAGGCTTCAAACATAAAGATATAACATTTTAATTTTTTGTCATGAATAAACAACAAGTGGGACACAATCGTGAAGTGGAACGAAATTTATTGGATAATTTAAACTTTTTTAACAAATAAAAAACTGAAAAGTGGGGCGTGCAATATTATTCGGCCCCTTTACTTTCAGTGCAGCAAACTCACTCCAGAAGTTCAGTGAGGATCTTTGAATGATCCAATGTTGTCCTAAATGACTGATGATGATAAATAGAATGCACCTGTGTGTAATCAAGTCTCTGTATAAATGCACCTGCTCTTTGATAGTCTCAGGGTTCTGTTTAAAGCGCAGAGCGAACCATGAAGACAAAGGAACACACCAGGCAGGTCCGAGATACTGTTGTGGAGAAGTTTAAAGCTGGATTTGGATACAAAAAGATTTCCTAAGCTTTAAACATCTCAGAGCACTGTGCAACTAATTATATTGAAATGGAAGGAGTATCAGACCACTGCAAATCTTCCAAGACCCGGCCGTCCCTCCAAACTTTCATCTCAAACAAGGAGAAGACTGATCAGAGATGCAGCCAAGAGGCCCATGATCACTCTGGATGAACTGCAGATAACTACAGCTGAGGTGGGAGAGTCTGTCCATAGGACAACAATCAGTCGTGCACTGCACAAATCTGGCCTTTATGGAAGAGTGGCAAGAAGAAAGCCATTTCTCAAAGATATCCATAAAAAGTCTTGCTTAAAGTTTGCCACAAGCCACCTGGGAGACACACCAAACACGTGGAAGAAGGTGCTCTGGTCAGATGAAACCAAAATTGACCTTTTTGGCCACAATGCAAAACGATATGTTTGGCGTAAAAGCAACACAGCTCATCACCCTGAACACACCATCCCCACTGTCAAACATGGTGGTGGCAGCATCATGGTTTGGGCCTGCTTTTCTTCAGCAGGGACAGGGAAGATGGCTAAAATTGATGGGAAGATGGATGGAGCCAAATACAGGACCATTCTAGAAGAAAACCTGTTGGAGTCTGCAAAAGACCTGAGACTGGGACAGAGATTTATCTTCCAACAGGACAATGATCCAAAACATAAAGCCAAATCTACAATGGAATGGTTCACAAATAGACGTATCCAGGTGTTAGAATGGCCAAGTCAAAGTCCAGACCTGAATCCAATCGAGAATCTGTGGAAAGAGCTGAAGACTGCTGTTCACAAACGCTCTCTATCCAACCTCACTGAGCTCTAGCTGTTTTGCAAGGAAGAATGGGCAAGAATTCCAGTCTCTCAATGTGCAAAACTGATAGAGACATACCCCAAGCGACTTGCAGCTATAATTGCCGCAAAAGGTAGCGCTACAAAGTATTAGCGAAAGGGGGCCGAATAATATTGCACGCCCCACTTTTCAGTTTTTTTATTTGTTAAAAAAGTTTAAATTATCCAATAAATTTCGTTCCACTTCACGATTGTGTCCCACTTGTTGTTGATTCTTGACAAAAAATTTAATTTGTATATTTTTATGTTTGAAGCCTGAAATGTGGCGAAATGTTGAAAGGTTCAAGGGGGCCGAATACTTTCGCAAGGCACTGTATATGTTATAAACCGTGCAGTCGTTTGTTTTGCACTGTTCCTGTCTTTAGTTTGAATCTGCACTCGTAGCTCATCGCGTCTGTTCCATTCCTCCTGCACTTTTAAATCGTTCATGTTTGCATCAGATATTTACCATTTATTGTTTTGCTGTTTGTGCTGAATACACTTTCATAATAACTATGTTTCCAACAAGAACTGTGTCTTTATTCACAACATCACAGTTAAATGAGTTAAGAAATAATGAGTCCATAGAACTATCAAAAAACCTACAGTAGAAACATATGTAATGATCTCAAACAGCTCGGTTTGTTCATGTTTTTGTTCTGAAGAGGAGAAAGAAGCAGCGTAAATGAGACCGCTTTGGTTTCTCATGCAACTCCTGTGAGATCGCAATCATGTGGTTGGTTGTGGAATTACAACATTCTCCTCAAAACTCCGCAAGGAGTATTTACAAATGTGCTTGCGTAGGTCCACCGCTAACGCTAACGTAAGTATACACTAGGCTTAAGAGTGAGGGTTGGTGTCTGGTCTCTCTCTCTCTGGTCTTTCTCTCTTTGGTCTCTCTTTCTCTGGTCTCACTCTCTGTGCTCTCTAAATAAATCTACTTCCTTCCTTCCTGTGTCCAGCTACAACAGTCTGCAGATCCACAACTCTCACTGTCACCCAGGAGAGGACTGCTTCACGCGGACCACCGTCATGAGGAACAACCGGACCGTGGTCCAGCAGAGCATCAACGAGCTGAGCTTCTGCGGTGGCTTTGTGAAGAGCGAGGAGGGCAGAGCTAACACCAGCCCCGCCCACCTGCAGAGCGAGGAGGGAGGAGCTCTCCCCGCCCACCTCAGCCCCGTCAAAGCTGAGAGCGACAGTGACGAGGACTACGACAGCAAAGAGATGCCTGTGTTAAGCCCCGCCCCCCTGACGCCTGTGACGTCATCGCGCCTTGCCTCAGCTCCGCCCCCTCTGGTGCTTAATGGCTCCGGAGTACTGCAGGTCAAAGGAGCCAGTGAGTGCCGATTCATCTAAGCCATGTCCACTAAGTGTCCACTAAGTGTCCACTAAGTGTCCACTAAGTGTCCACTAAGTGTCCACTAAGTGTCCACCCATGTTGTTTGCAGACACAGGGGCACTGTCGCAGAGACGGAAGCATGTGACTTTTATAGTAGTTTATATTGCTTACTAGCGTTCTAACAGCTCTGATTTCTCAGGCACTGGAGTCTTGGCCCCTGGGACCGTGGCCGCTGGGACCCTGGCCCCTGCAACTCTGGCCCCTGGGACTCTGGCCCCTGGGACTCTGGCCCCTGGGACTCTAGCTCAGGTCCTGACGGCTCTTCAGAGCGTGAGCAGCTCACCTCAGACTCAGCTGCTAATCCCTCTGAGCTCCATCCCCACATACAGCCCTGCTATGGACAACAATGTGCTGTTGCTGAGCGCCTACAGCAGGTGAGAGCAGGTACTACAGCAGGTGAGAGCAGGTACTACAGCAGGTGAGAGCCGGTACTACAGCAGGTGAGAGCAGGTACTACAGCAGGTGAGAGCAGGTACTACAGCAGGTGAGAGCAGGTACTACAGCAGGTGAGAGCAGGCACTACAGCAGGTGAGAGCCGGTACTACAGCAGGTGAGAGCAGGCACTACAGCAGGTGAGAGCAGGTACTACAGCAGGTGAGAGCCGGTACTACAGCAGGTGAGAGCAGGTACTACAGCAGGTGAGAGCAGGCACTACAGCAGGTGAGAGCCGGTACTACAGCAGGTGAGAGCAGGTACTACAGCAGGTGAGAGCAGGTACTACAGCAGGTGAGAGCAGGTAGTACAGCAGGTGAGAGCAGGTACTACAGCAGGTGAGAGCAGGTACTACAGCAGGTGAGAGCAGGCACTACAGCAGGTGAGAGCAGGTACTACAGCAGGTGAGAGCAGGTAGTACAGCAGGTGAGAGCCGGTACTACAGCAGGTGAGAGCAGGTACTACAGCAGGTGAGAGCAGGTACTACAGCAGGTGAGAGCAGGTACTACAGCAGGTGAGAGCAGGTAGTACAGCAGGTGAGAGCAGGTACTACAGCAGGTGAGAGCAGGTACTACAGCAGGTGAGAGCAGGTACTACAGCAGGTGAGAGCAGGTACTACAGCAGGTGAGAGCAGGTACTACAGCAGGTGAGAGCAGGTACTACAGCAGGTGAGAGCAGGTACTACAGCAGGTGAGAGCAGGTAGTACAGCAGGTGAGAGCAGGTACTACAGCAGGTGAGAGCAGGTATTACAGCAGGTGAGAGCAGGTACTACAGCAGGTGAGAGCAGGCACTGCAACACTGCAGAATGTTAACCTGGTGTCAATCCTGGTCTTAGTCTCAGTCCTCTTTCACTCCTCAGGTTTCCATACCCCTCGCTCTCTGAAATCCTTGGTCTCTCGTCTCAGACTAAGTTCAGTGAAGAACAGATCAAAGTCTGGTTTTCCGCTCAGAGACTGAAGCACGGAGTGAGCTGGACCCCTGAGGAGGTATGCACACGCTTCTGCGCATGCATACACAAACACACACACACTATTACAGCCAAATTGATAATGACTCGAGGCAAACAAGTGTTTATCAAAGTAATGGCATACATGATAAGTACATGAGGGAGAGAATGTCATTATCCGTCTTTATGAGCATCATATACATGTGGGTTATTATCTGGAAAGTGTGCCCTCACGTGGTTGTGCAAGAAACTGCAATTCATCTTTTCCGCTCACATCTAATAGAACTGTCTCACCTGATCATGGTATCCCTCAGGGGTCTATGTTAGGGCCTATTCTTCACACACTATGTGGGTGCAGGTGGAGGAGGCGCGGCGTAAGAAGTCCAATGGCTCGGTGCAGGCACCGCCCACCATCACAGTGATCCCAGCGAGCCTGGCCCCAAACGGCCTCCAGTCCCTGTTCCAGACCTGTCACATCGTGGGCCAGCCGGGACTCGTGTTAGCCCAGGTCCCTGCTAACGCTAATGCTAACGGGCTCCCTGCGGCCCCGCCCATCACCCTCACTTTAGCCACACCCACTCACAACCACACGTCAGCTTCCGAGCCCAACGAGACCCAGACCAGGACTGAGACTGCCTCAGGACTGGACAAGAGCCGCACCAAAACTAAGGCAGACTCCGGACTGGACCTGAGTCCCAACAAACCCAAGAAGTCCAAGGAGCAGCTAGCTGAGCTCAAGGCCAGTTACAGCCGCAAGCAGATCGCAAGTGAGGGGGAGATCTCACGACTGATGGAGGTAAGACTTGAGACCAGAGACGGACCAGAGACGGACCAGAGACGGACCAGAGACGGACCAGAGACGGACCAGAGAGGGACCAGAGAGGGACCAGAGAGGGAGGGACCATAAACCCCAAGCCTAAAGCACCTGTTCTCTGCAGGTGACAGGTCTCTCCAAAAGAGCCATAAAGAAGTGGTTCAGCGACACTCGGTACAACCAGAGAAACTCAAAGGATCAGCACGGCATGCCCCTGACGGAGGCCGCCTCCAGATCTGGGTCTGGGTCCAGGACTCGGGCAGAGGCTGAGGCTACCGGTCTGAGCACTGGGACCATTGTTATCGACTTGAGTGACGACCTGGACTCCCCCAGCCCTGAGAACAAAGTGAGTCCAGATTGTGGATCCAGAGAGAGAGAGAGAGAGAAAGAGAGACCACAGAGAGAGGGGTACCACAGAGAGAGGGGTACCACAGAGAGAGGGGTACCACAGAGAGAGGGGTACCACAGAGTGAGGGGTACCACAGAGAGAGGGGGACCACAGAGAGAGGGGGACCAAAGAGAGAGACTACTGAGAGACCGACCGACCACAGAGAGAGAGAGAGACCGACCACAGAGAGAGAGAGACCGGCCACAGAGAGAGAGACCACAGAGGGAGAGAGAGATCATAGAGAGACCGAACACAGAGAGAGCGAGAGACCACAGAGAGAGATCATAGAGAGAAAGCTGGTCCAGAGAGATCTTTGTGAGTTCTGGATCATTTGCGTTGCCCTGCTTTTGTAGAATAGTGAAGATGTGGATTATGGGTCCACTTCCTCTGAGGGTCTCTGTGGTGTCCAGTCCTCAGAGATCAAGCTGAAGTTCCGGAACGCCTTCCCCGACTTCACGCTGCAGAAGTTTAAAGAGAAGAGTGTGGAGCAGCTGCAGGAGCTGGAGGCCAGTTACCAGAAGGAGCACAGTCCCTCTGACCAGGAGCTGACCCGCCTGCGCACCAGCACCAAGCTGACCCGGCGGGAAGTGGAGGCCTGGTTCAACGAGAGGAGGAAGGTGAGCACGATGAGGACGGTACGTGACTTTAGTCTCATAAGTAACATGTTGTCTGAACAGAATATATCTGGCTCTTTGGGCTGATGGGGCTTTCAGACCGCCAACGCTGAAACGCTGCAGCCCCGCTCACCAGACGCGCATTCTCTAGTTTTCAGACGCAGGGGTCTTCACACCAGAACGTCCTGACGCGAGCCGGAAGTACCGGAAGTAGCCGGCCGGCTCTAATGCTAACAGAGCTATGCTAGCGGCTTCTTGTGTACAGATCTACTCCAATATGCAGCTTTGCAGCGTGTCTTTGCTCACAGCCATTCCACGGGCTTTATATAACAGTAGTATGTGTTCACGGAGGTGCGCCATACGTGTTTTCATATTATTAAACGGAATTTCCGCATCGGCGAACACACTCCAAGCCAAGAGTTTTGCACCAGCTGTGAAACACACACTGCTCTGACCTCCTCTCCCTCTGCAGGCCACAGAAGCTCCGCCCTCCCCTCAGGACAGACCTCAGCAGAGCGCCACAGCAGACACCAGCGCAGCAGCAGCAGCACCAGGTAAAGGCGCGTCGGGGTCGCGCCGTGCAGTGAAGAAGACGCTGGCACAGCTGCACGTGCTGAAGACGGCGTTTGTTCGCTCGCAGTGGCCATCACCGCAGGAGTACGAGCGCCTTGCTGCGGAGACCGGGCTGCCACGCTCCCACATTGTCACCTGGTACGGGGACACGCGTTACGCCATAAAGAACAACGCACTCAAGTGGTACTACCTATACCAGAGCGGCAAGGTCAGTTCCCACGGCAACTGAGGGTCTGTGCCCACGCAACAGAGGGACTAATAAAATCTTGTTAGATGCTGAGAGGGATATTCATTTTGTTGTCATTTCTTCTGCATAAATATGCATAAATATGTTTCTTATAGTGCTCTCTACATTTCCATTTTTGATATTTTAGAGCAAATTAGATAAATTATCACTTTTGAACCTAAAACCGTCTGTTTGGCGCCCTCTCTACCTTTTTAGGTGGCACTACATTTGAATTTGGTGCCTGGCCTCTCCATTGGCTCTAGAGTGTTGGTTTATGTCGGTTGGTGTCTGCGCCAGTGGCATAAACCATCCAAGTCTCTCACACGCCCAGTGGCTAGTTGGAGTATTCTGGCAACATCTAGTGGATTAAAATTAAATTACATCAGTTGACAGCCACTACTGCTGAGATAATTCTGTGGCTTAGGTTCAGGTGTGTAGCTCTACAATTATCTTAGTGTGTAAACAAAGGTGGAATGAGACTTTCTGGTGTGTAAACTCAATTGCAGCCCAGACCACGCCCAACTCTAAGCCCTCCTTCTTGTTCCTTGGTCCTCCGTCATCTCAGAGGAGTTAACAAAACCATTGAAATCACCAACACAGATAAGATGATCAACGAAATGAAAATGAAAATGTATTGATCCATAAGGAGACCAATGTCCATGTATGTTGTTAAATGTCCATACATGTTGTAGAATGTTAAAGTGTCCTGGATCATCACCACAGTCAGTTTTGTTAGACACTAACTGTCCAACAGACCCTCCTGCAGCAGCAAGGAAAAGAAAGAGGGATCCGCTCCACACAGACGGACGGGCTATAGATCCAGGACCTAAGTTACAGAACGAGGACCAGGCCCACACCGCGTATGCAGAACGTGGGCAGCTCCTATGATCATGAACTTTGGGAATGACCAAAAGGACCAGATGGAGGACACACATGGTCCACATTAGGTTCTTCCAATGACTGAGTGGAGCTTAGACAGAGGGGGAGGTGCTCAGGGTAGAGCCTCTGTTAATGCATGTTTCTTGTGTTCAGGGGGAGGAGGTGCTGAATGGAGGGAAAAAGAAATCCAGGAAACGGTTCCGTGGCTGGTCCAGACGGCGAAGAACGCCTAGTAAACGACCGGCGCAGGAGTTCAATGTGAAGGTGTGAGTTTGAAACGAGACACATTTCCAGAAGGGTTGGGGAGTTGTGTGTTTGAAAGCAATTATTTAAACAGGGGGTGGGGGTTGTGTCACAGGTGAAGTCTGGGACCTGGTTCTTGAAGGATTATTACCGGCGTCACCGGGACCTGAGTGAGACCGATCTTGACGATCTGGTCTCAAAGTCCGGACTGAGCTACGAGAGAGTCAGAGACTGGTTCAAGGAGGTCCAGAGGAGAGAGGCGGAGGGTCTGCAGGGCTTCAGCGACGACCCAGTGACCACGGTCAGAAAGAACTTTATATAATTCTAATAAATATATAATCTCTGTTTGAATGACGCCAGTGAAGATCATATCAATATGTTCTCTATTTTCATGCAAGGCAGCTTTACCATCAGAGAGACCAGAGAGAGACCAGAGAGAGACCAGAGAGAGACCAGAGAGAGACCAGAGAGAGACCAGAGAGAGACCAGAGAGAGACCAGAGAGAGACCAGAGAGAGACCAGAGAGAGACCAGAGAGAATAATGCATTGTTTTTATATAGTACTTATTTGGACACTCAAAGACGCTTCATAGGCCTCGGGCAACCATCGGCTCCTTCCAACATGCCTAGAATGTCACTGGTTCAATCATTCTAGGTAATCTGGATGTAGTGTTTTGCTTGAGGACACAAAAGCAGTTTTGCACTTTATAGCCGCAGTTGCCCCCACTGTGGCATCTGGGTTTCCCAGAGGTCTTCCATCACAGTACTAACCAGGCCCTGCCCTGCTTCGCTTCAGAGGGGGACCCGAGAGGGAGACCCGATAGGATAGAGAGCCTCACCTCAAGCGTCCAACCAAGATATTAAAGGGCGTCACGCGCTATTGAGAACTGGGAGCTAGACACATGATCAGTAGAAAATACGCACATAAAAATGGCTTCAATTTCCACTAACGAGAGAGGGAGAGAAAATGAATGAAACTTGAACACTTCCCCAACTTTTCCCAAGTCCTGTGTTTCCCTGCACTGTACGCTGCAGCGGTTTATGTGAATGTCGCTGGTTCACTTGGAGAAACCAGCTCTTTTGGCTGAATCATTATTTTGAACTAATTTTTGGTTTTATTCAACAGGAAGAAGAAGACATGGAGGAAGACGAGGGGGAGAACATGGAACAGGGTGACCCAGAGCAGCCACAAACCAGCCATTCACTGCCTGCGGAGGAGGGCAACAGCCAATCAGAGGCAGAGGAGGAGGGAATTGACCAATTCGAAGCAGAGGAGGAGAGCAACAGCCAATCAGAGGCAGAGGAGGGCCACAGCCAATCAGAACCTGTCGCCGAGCAGACGTGAAGCAGTTTATTTAAATATGTTTTAAGGAAAAACATCAGGATGCTTTCACCAGATTTCTCTTAAAAGGGACTCATGGACTGAGACCTGGACCTGTTCACTTTGGGTCCCGTTGAACCAGACCAGATTTTTATCACTGGTTTTTACATGAACTTTGTATGTTTTTAGTGAAGTGAGACTGAGCCGGGACTGAGCCGGGACTGAGCCGGGACTGAGCCGGGACTGAGCCGGGACTGAGCCGGGACTGAACCAGTCCTTTTGTTGCATGTTTAACACATGAACTTCTTTGGTACAAAAACTGAACCAAAACTTATTAGTAATCACAGCTTCAGGAACAAACGAGTTTTACCTCAGACTGGGACCCGGCCTGACTGGGACCCGGCCTGACTGGGACCTGGTCTGACTGACTGGGACCCGGTCTGACTGGGACCCGGTCTGCCTGGGTCTTAAAGCAGGTCTCATAGTTTCCGTCTGAGCTCCGAGCTGTGTGCAGTGGGTTTGTGTTTGACAGGATGGCAGGGGAAGCACGGATCAGTGACTCTTATTAACTCGAGCTCCTTCAAACTTAAACATAAAATGTTCTGTTGTCAGCTCCATGTTTTCGTTCATCAGAGCCAAAATGCCCTGTTCTCAGCTTTTGTCCATGATCCAGTTGTTTATAGTCATTTATATTCCCTCATATCTGAGGCGCCATCCCTCCCCGTTTCCACTTAAAAACATCTGCCGATCGCTAACTTCAGAGGCCTGCTCACCCTGCCACTCTGTGAATGTTTGAGATACGGGTCACAGGACGCTTCAGGAGTTTGTACAAACAATTTAAATGGTTCAGTTCATATTTATTTATTCTTGTTTTCTGACTTTTCTGTTTCAGTAAATAAAAAGATTGAAATGTGTTTGAAGTCTTTGTTCAGAGCAGAAACACAAAGTCACTTTTAACAACATGTGACATTAGCACAATCCAAAGAGTGCTAGTCTCACATTGTGAGTAAGTGCAAGGAAAACATCTCTCCTGATCACTGTGGAGGCCTGTGTAACTATGCTAAGTGTCAAAAGTCAAGATTCCAGTCTTGTTTGTTGCCAATTTCTCAAATTCATAGAACAATCCACATTTGTCAGCACATATGAACTCCGCTCTCCCTGGACTATCTCCGACCAGAGAGACTCTTCATCAGAGGGAGTCCAGGGAGAGTCTGAAACTTTAAAAAGGGACGGATATCTGCTTTTTCCTCTTGCCCAGCAGAGGGCGGCACAAACTCAGACCAACTGCCGCTTCTTTAAACCAACTAAAAGAGTTTTGACAGACTCTTGCACTTCACATTACACACCCACACACACACACCAAAAACACAAGTGTAATCACACAAGTACTTAAAACCATTTAAAATAATAAATAACTACATTATGAAGAGATCCTTCAGTTGTATACACGGGCACACGGAACCACAATATTAACTTGGATTTGAACATTTGCCAGAGAAGAAGCCTGTCTTATACCTTCAGAAAAACTGCTACAGATTCTAGCCCCACGTTCACTTCTGTCCCTGGGCACCAGCAAGAGCCTGGTGTAACGTGGGGTGGTCTTCAGGTGAAAAGCCTTTAGCAATGCACTCAAAAAGGGGGGAAAAGACTCGTTGAGCTCCACTTACTATATTGATAGAACAATGCCAGGTCTTCATATAATGCCATACATGAGTTATTTCACCCGTACCACTTGTTACGTAGAGTTAGAGAGACAAATTGCGTGTGCCTCTTGCCAACATCATTCATACAGTGTATATGCAAATAGCGCCGTGCAGTGGTGTAATATGGTGCTACAACCTAACTGACCGTCGCACTGGTTCCTGTACTCCAGAGTCCGGGCCGATTCACATCAACACAGATGTATTTAGGTGCGAGGCCATGGAGAGACTTGTACAGAAGGAGAGCTGCTTTACAGTCTCTTCTCTGAGCCACAAGAAGGCAGCGCAGAGACCTGAGGACTGGACTAATATGATACGATTGTAGAAATAATGTTTACCCCTGAGGTACCCCATATGTCCCTACAGTCAGACTTGTCTCTCACACAGAGTCGGCCCTCGGCCATCAGGCGGCCCTCTTTTAGATCTAAACACAGGTTTAAGATGTTCATTACGGTGGCTCATCCCCTCGGCTTCACTTTCCACTTTTACGTAAAAAACAGCCAAAAGGGGCCACCCGCTGTTACTCAGTGTTGGGCAAGTTGCTTCAAAAACATAATACATTATGTATTACTTATTACTGATATTTCAAAAGAATGTATTACACTACAATATTACTGTATCTGAATTGTAATGCATTACACTAAAACTGCATTACTTTTAAGTTACTTTCTTTGAATATATATATATACATAGTTTTTAAAAAAGAATTAGGATTTAATCATCTTTTTATAAAAAATTATAATTATAATTTCAGTTTAATAATCGAAGGGGTTATTAAACGTGGGGTTTTTCTGGGTTCAGTCCTGATTGTCCTGGCTCAGTGCTGCATGGCTCAGTCCCGGTTCAGTCCTTTCTCAGTCCTGGTTCACAGCAGCTCACAGCGTTATTTACTAAACTTGATGGAAGTGCAACATTCTTGCCGCTGTTTAACGCGTCGCTTCTCATCGCGCACGTATTTTCTGCCCGTTGACAAGTGTCTGCCTCTCTCTCAAACAGAACTCTAGAGAGTCATATCTAAGTGAATACAAACTCTTTTTGAGCGCTTCAAAGATCAAACCAGAGCTTCAACCCTCATCTATCCATGGGCTGCATGTATCTGTATCTCTACTTTTAGCCTGTTTTTCATCCACTTCTTTTCTTCGGCGTGTATTGGCTGCACCTGAAGGCTTTGACATAATAATAAAAGTTGCCCAAAAACACGTCTACCTATCTTTCAATTAACACTCTCGTGATTCGTGAGGATGCCCCCCCCCCCCCCATCTTGGCTTGACAAGAGTGTAGCCAACAGTAGCATGGTTCAATGATGACGATTTTTAGTGTAAATCATATTTTTTTCAATCTTACGTGATGAGAAAAAAGGAAACTTTTCAAGTTATTTTTTAAGACTCCATCCTGCAAATTGCGCCCCAGGCGCCTATGCCCTGGGCCAGGCCTGCTCATACAAATATCTCTGACCAGTTTTTTGCTCATCAGATTCAGTTTATTTGCCATTTGCAGTAAAAAAAAACCACATTGGAATACATTAGCAAAAAGTCTCCAGTGTGCACAGACAAATACAGACATAAAACAACATTAAAAGTACGGAATTAAAACAAATAAAACAGTAAACAAATGTCACTGTGAAATAGATCGACTAAAACAGTTTCAAAACAAGTGCAAATCATTAAAGTGCTCTGTTCACACTGATAACAGCTTGTGGATAAAAACTGTTACCGTAACGAGATGTCCTGCATCTCAGAGAGCGATATCTTCTGCCAGAGGGAAGAAGCTGGAACATGGCTTTTCCAGGGTGGCCAGAAGAGTCATTAACAATCCTAAGAGCTTTGTTTAAAAGTCTGGATTTATAAAGAACCTCCAGAACAGGAAGCTCACAGCCCACGGTCCTCTTTGCAGAGCGGAGCACCTTGTTTAAAGCTCTCTTTTCTTTATCTGTGATGTTTCCAAACCACACAGACACAGAACCAACAAGTAAACTCTCAATGGTGCAGCGATAAAAGTTAAGCAGAATCTTAGAGTTAGTGGTAAATTCTCTGAGTTTTTGCAGTAAGTAGAGACGCTGACGAGCTTTCTTAACGACTCGATCAGTGTTTTTAACCCAGAAACGTGCACTCCTCTACTGTACAATCTGTACCTGGGAGTTGTCGATAACAACAGGAGTGTGAGAACTGTTACGACTGAAGTCAAAGACCAGTTCACATGTTTTCGATGCGTTCAGCTAATATGTTTGATATAAAATCATTGAAAACAGTGACAAATCTGCACAGCTATGTTGCTCCCAATCAGTGTCTTTTATTTACAGATCAGGTAGTAACGTTTCGGGCTGAGGCCCTTCATCACACATCAGCCCAAAACGTTACTACGTGGTCTGTAAATAACAGACACTGATTGGGAGTGACATAGCTGTTTTGCACTTTTTAATCCAGCACGCTAAATCAGACTACAGAGATGTGCAGCCTTATTTGAAGCCTTCTAATATAAAATCACTACCAACGGCATGAAAAGTTTCTTATGTTGTGGAAAATTAGGGACATTAACAAAGACATGATTAAAGCGGATTCAATTCATCCCTGAATAACAACAACAGTAGTCTCAACAGACTTTGCTGAGTTTTAGATTCCTCAACAACAGATCAATCAGAGAATCAAACACTCTGGAGCCATTCGTCCATAATAAAGTGCGGGATGACCACTGTACAAAAATGTAGTCTCTCTCTGGTGTCTCTGGTGTCACTCTGGTCTGTCTCTTGTGCATGTCCCTCATTAGAGAGAATGCTTTGTTGTCCTTCTGTTCTCACTTCATTTTCGTCTCCGTCTTTAAAATATTCAGCGTCTGATTCTCGGTTCTCGTTATTAGCGCCTCGTTCACAGGATTCTTTTGGTATCGAGTCACAGATCTGCTTTTGTTTCAATTCACGCTGCAGGGACAATGCAGCCACAACTGCCCTAGGGCATTCATGCAGTATCTTTTTACAAGGACAACATCATAAATGAAAGAGAAACAGCTGGTTCCCGAGCGATGTTTGTGTGAAACCACAGATCGACACAAACCAGGTTCTCGGGACAGAACTGTGGAGTCCCTCAGGGGTCAGAACTTGAACCCACATTCTTTATTTTACATAAAGCATGTTCTTTAAATCCTTTTGTGTTGTATATGATCTATTTCTAAACACAAACATACAAAATAAGTTGATCAGGAGTGTTGGGGCTCCTCATCTCCAGATCACTTTCAGGACAAACACACACGTTTCTGTTAGATTTTGAAGAGTTGTTTTGTGCAGCTTTTATCAAACTTTCTTCACTAAAACTAAAAATAAATCTTGGACTT